TGTCTTTCACAGATGCTGCCAGACCTGCTGAGCTTTTCCAGCAACTTTGTTTTTGTTTGACATTTAAAAGGCATCTGGATTAGTATATGAATGGCAAGGGTTTAGAGGGATACGGACCAAATGCTGGCAAAAGGGACTAGATTAATTTACAATATTTGGTCGGTGCAGACAAATTGGACCAAAGGGTCTGATTCTGTGCTGTACACCCAAATGACTCTAATTGCATCATGAATTTCAGTAACCACATGATTACTTACAGAGTAAAATTCTTTTCATTATTGGTGGATTGTCAACTATACCAAAGAATTTTTTGTTAATTCTTCATTTTAATGAGGCCAGGACAATGGAAGCACTGAATGAAATATTACTTCTGTCTCTCGCAATCGGTTCTAACTATTTCCCCTTTAACATCAGCAGAACACCACTGAATGACTGAATTAAGTACAAGGAAGAACAACTTTCAAACCGTTTTTCCTGTTCTTTAAAATGTCACTTTGATCATAACCTTTCAGCTCTTGTAGGTGATACCGCTTTGATTTAGTGCTAGATCAGAATTTATGATGCCCTAATTAGTAATCTAATGAAGTACTTTCTTAAATGACCTTGTGTACGTAGAATCAAATTCAGACAGAAAAGTAATTATTGCAATCTGGCGTAACTTTCATGAATTAAGTCCAAAGGTTTATGAGCAAGTATAAAGAAGGATAAGATATCTAGTCTATCTGCCTCCCCATCTCTTCCTATTTATTTCAGAATCCCTTTCCCCTCCCCCATTTTTGAGGAAGGGTCTCGACCCAAAACGTCAGCTTTCCTGCTCCTCTGATGCTGCTTGGCCTGCTGTGTTCATCCAGCTCTACACCTTGTTATCTCAGATTCTCCAGCATCGGCAGTTCCCACTATCTCTAGTCCAGATGTCCCTTTCTCTTATGTGGGTACACAACCTTACTCTGCTATGTACCAAAACTAAAAGTTGAAGGAAACAATCAGAGTCGAAGGAGAAGGAAAGCCTATGATTAATGCCTCCACAAAACACTGAAGTCGTACTAAAATTTTAAAGGAGTTCCCACATATTATTGACAAGGAAAGGGCTACAATTTGAAAATCAGAAGGACAACTATATATTTGCCAAAACAAATTATTTCTACCAAGATTTCATTTTATTCATTTTTTTGAATGTAGATGTTGCTAGCAAGGCTAGCATCTATCGTCCTTTAGAATATAAGGTGGACCTTTCTGAGCAATTTGATACAACTCAGTGGCTTGCTAGGTCAAGAAGGCAGTTAAAAGTCAACCACATAAGGAGTACAGCATTCCTTTCTGAAAAGGCATCAGTTAACTCGCTGGGTATTTATCTCAATCTGACAGTTAAACCATTAATTTTATTGATAAAAGCTTTTTAAAACTGAATTCAAATTCAGAAACTATTTTGATGAGACTAGAACTCTCTCTCCCTGGATTACTGGTCTAATGTCCTAACTATCAGACTATCACACCAGAGAAGGGTTATTTGCATTGGGATTTAAAAAAAAAGAAAATGCCAATATAAAACAAATCCATCACCTCCTTAAGGAGAAAACAAATTAGCAGTTCAGATAAAAATCCCTTGCTAGTCCTCTTCAAGAACCATTATCTGACAAATTAACTTATCTTTTCTCTTTTGATGAGTATCTGGTGAGTGTTCCAAGCATTTTCTGCTTTGAGTTAACTGTTATATATACATCTTCTGCACTGATAACATAATCAAACAACTTAGATTAATTCAAATCAATACCGCACTGTATTTCTGTATTTCAATCAGTCGAGGACCAAGTGTCTGAATCACTTCAAGTGTTTTGTCTTGATTTAAAAATTTGATTGACAGTTCAGCAGCCTGGAAACAAAGAACCCAGTAATAATAGAGGAACCTCATATTAAAAAAAAGCATTCCATAGTGATTCCAAGATAATCAGATGAATTTAAATTTAGTACTGACCACAAATAAGATAAGGCAAGGTAGACCACAGAAGGCTATAGGCCTCTCTCTCCATTAGCCAAAGAGACACAGAATATTTTGCTACAAATAATTAACAGCCAAGCAAGAAATTCAGACAGGTTAACAACATCACAAGCTGAGAAGTTTAAGAAAAGGATAATCCACAAAAAATTGTCAAAGTAGAAAAATACTGGAAACATGAAGCAGGTCATTCAACATCAGCAAAAAATAATTCAGGTACCATCTTCAGTCCTTTCAGCTCTTTGCCTTTTGGTAATATGATAATCCATTTTTCAGACTCAATGGTTTCATTTCAGTTATTTAACTTTTGTGATTATTGCACTTTACAACAGTTTGACTCATCTTAACCTACCACATAATATTTAGAGCATTTAAACACTATCACGATGAATCTATATAAAAGCTAAAATTAAACTTTGGGGTTGCTTTTCATTTTGTTTTCTGGCATGGACTCTGAGCTGACAAGCTTCTTTTGTGCCATAAATGATTACTTCTGGTGGCTAGCCAAACTACTTACTCATTAAATTAATCCACTGCAAAAAGAGAATACAGTTTTCCGAATGTAGATTTCTGCTCTCTGCTCTTCCTGGGTGTAATTTAAAATTTAGAACTCTCAAAACAACAATACTAATTTTTTTTGTCATGTATAAATTCAGGTAATTCAATGAATTGTAATGCAGCCATTCACTGCTGTGAAGAATTTTTCAAAGCGGATGTCTATAGTCGATTAGAGTTTTGATATATGGCATGCAATAACCTAGAGAACATTTTGATGGTCAACATTGGGTCTACTTCAACTAAAAGTTGTTCCTCTTGATGAAAATGCAACCTTTGAAATACACATCTCACCTTCATCCAGCACTTCTCCATCAGAGCCAGGTTATTGGTCTCTTTGACTTTAAGGTAACATTCCACTGCTCTTACATATTCTCCCGATTGCTCCCATTCTCTAGCTTGTTCAACTATTCCTTCTATTCCCCTGTGAGACACAATTATGAAACCAAAAATAAAGTTAACTCAGGAAATGGAAAATACAGTAACACCTAAATAGATAGTTTAGTGTTTTGGATTTAATGATACAAGCTGTTTATTCATGATAATTGTATACTGAATTTCTGAATATGCTTATGATTTTGTGTTATCTATTAATTACATTAACCTAATTTCTGCTTCTCATAAACACTGATTGCCAGCAATGAAATGTACAACTACATTTGTGAACAACAATGACTAGGTAATTGGTGATAATATTTTATGAAAATGTTTCATAAGAAGCATGCAAAATCCATAAAGGTACAATTTGGAGCAGGGATTTCATCTTCAAATTTATTTTTCAAATGCTAACAACTAATTCCATAGGCAACAAGGTGTAGAGCTGGATGAACACAGCAGGCCAGGCAGCATCAGAAAAGCAGGAAAACTGACGTTTTGAGTCTGGACCCTTCTTCAGAAAAATTTTCTGATTTTCTGAAGAAGGGTCCAGACCCGAAACGTCAGCTTTCCTGCTCCTCTGATGCTGCTTGGCCTGCTGCGTTCATCCAGCTCTACACCTTGTTATCTCAGATTCTCCAGCATCGGCAGTTCCTACTATCTCTAATTCCATAGGTAGTTACTTCTATACTTTTGCTAAATTTTGTATCACTAATGTTGGATATACTACTGGCAAATCAGCAGTCCACCTGCTGAATTATTTCCAGATTAAACCAAACTAGTCAAATTCACATAAAGAGGCAGAGGATCACTGACAAGGCTTCTTCAACAGGTTAGCAACGTTCTACAACTCGGCATGTGTAAGATTCACCTTGAATATAATTACTGAACAGTCAAAGATTTCTGCAGATGGTGGAAATCCTTTTTAAAAGGTTTTTAAAAGCTTCTTAAAAGTTTCTTAAAAGCTTTTTAAACCATTTGCCATTTAAGCATGAAAAAAAATGCCTTCAAGGAAAAAAAATTGGAAAAATCACATGGAAAGTCAAATGAGGAGATACCAAAGCAAAGTATCAGTGTTGGGGTCTCCCTTGACTATTCTCACTTATAACTTGGATCACAGTAGCAGTAGGAAAGGCTTTCAAACAATTCACTACCTATCCTCTCAGGAGTAGATGGTGGTAAGGAAATTACATCATTAATTTTTTTGACCATTTCCACTTTCTACAGCTAATTTGCTTACTTTGTTCCTTTCTTAATTGTTTCCTGTTCATATTCTTCCTGAAGTTGTTCCAGCTTGTTAGGGATATATTCTTTACAAATTCGAATTGCATCACTCCACATTGTGACTTCCTGAAACAAGAAATTAATTAAAAATGGTTTTAACACGAGGAGCACTTTTCCAGTTTTTATTGTTTTTTTAAATATCTGCTGTGGTGCAACCGGTAACAGGCTTGTCTCAGAATCAGAAGGGTGTCAGTTCAGGTCCTACTGAGTAAAAAAAGACTCAGGCAATATCAGAAATGTCATTTTTCAGCTGGGATGTTAAATGGAGTCCTGTGTATTCTCCCAGGTAAATGTAAAAGATCCCATGCACTATTTTGAAGGAGTACAGGACTAATACTTGTTTGTCAATCAAGTTCTCACAAAACATTAATCTAGCAATTATCACTTTTCTGTTTGTGGGAGCTAACAAAGTTCAAACTGGCTATCTAACTACTTACATTACAATAGTGACTACATTTCAAAATATTCTGCCTTCCTCCTGTAACCATTGATCCCCTTACCAATTAAGGATCTATCTATCTCTATCTTAAATACACTCAATAATTTGGCTTCCACAGCCCTCTGCGGCAATGAGTTCCACAAATTCAAAGCCCTCTGGCTGAAGAAATTCCCGCTTATCTCAATTCTGAAGTATCAGCCCTTCACTCTGAGGCTGTGTTCTTGGGTATTACTAGTGAAAAAATCTTCTCCACGTTGACTTTACGTACACCTCTCAGAATTCTGTAAATTTTGATAATATCGCTCCTCCCCCAACCTTCTAAACTCCATCAGTTATAGACACAGTGTCATCAATCACTCCTCATACAACAAGTCCTTCATCCCCTAAATCATTCTTGAAAATCTCCTCTGGACCCCCTTCAAAGCCCATACATCCTTCCTTAGATAGAGGGCCCAAATCTGCTCACAATATTCAAAGTTCAGTCTGACCAGAGGCTTATACAGCCTTAGCAGTACATTTCTGCTCTGTGTCTCTCATAGAATAACAGAATCCCCACAATGTGGAAACAGGCCATTCAGCCCAATAAGTCCACACAGACCTTCCAAAGAACATCCAACCCAGTTCCATCCCCCTACCCTATCCCTTCATTTTCCATGGCTAACACACCTAAACATCTCTGGACACTATGGACAATTTAGCATTCCACCCAGCTTGCACGCCTTTTGACTGTGGGAGGAATCTACAGCACCTGGCGGAAACTGATGTAGACAAGGGGAGAACGTGAAAACTCCATATAGACAGCTGCCCGAAGCCAAAATCGAATCCGGGTCCCTGGCGCTGTGAGGCAGTAGTGGTAACCACTGAGCCACCGTGCCGCCCTCTAGCCCTTTTGAAATGAATGCTAACATTGCACTTGCCTACCTAACTGACAAACGAACCTGCATGTTAACCTAAAAGAATCCTTCAATAGGAGTCCTAAATCCCTTTTTGCTTCAGATTTCCAAAGCTTTACCCATTTAGAAAATAGTCTACACCTCCACTCTTCTTACCAATAAACATAACTTCACACTTTCCAAAATTATTATCCATCTGCCAATTGTTTACCCACTCTTCTAGCCTGTCCAAGTCCTTCTGCAGTCTCCTCTCTTCCTCAAAACTACCTAACCGTCCACCTATCTTTGTGTCATCTGCAAACTTAGCAACAGTTCCTTCATCCAGATTGTTAAGGGATAAGTAACCCTTCCTTGAACCATTCACTCTGCTTTCTCTCCACAAATGCTGCCTGACCTGCTGAGATTTTCTAGCAATATCTGTTTTTGTTTCTGATTTCAGACATCCACATTCTTTGGTGTTTTTTGTTTAATATTTCCCCTATTGACCTTCAATCTGAAAGTAACCTATAACAGACAATCAATTTAGTAGCGATCACCAACTAATGAACCTCCTTTTACCTGTGATGTCACGCTTTTATGCTGGGCCCCTAATCCCGGGCTTCAATTTATCATGTTCAAAAAACCTTTACAAGCTGTGAGCCAAAGAAAAGCAAGCAAAAAACACCTCTTCCCCTCTGCACCGACTTCTCACGCTGCCTCCAAATTCCCTGAACTGTATACTCACTCGGGGCGTGTCTCACTCTGGACGTGATCTCTCTCCTGCCTGACCATACAAAGCTTGCTTCAAGGGTGGAATCTTATAGGAGTGAGATGTGTGACAAATTGGTTGACTAATGTGGTGAGGCCCATCTTGATCATCATCTTGCTTCATGTTTTATTCTTTTGACAAGTGGTGTGGTATGATTCTCACTGGCTAACGTAAACCCTTGTTAATGCCAAAACATGCCTCATTAATATTCAGAATATCCCCTTACCAAATTTACCAGACGACAAGAAAACTTGACAAGGAAACCAGAGTTAGCACCTTTGGATTCATCTTGCCATTTGCTCCGAACAACCTCCAATTTGGACGCTGGCACCAAAATCTCAGTACATACTGCATGGGCACCAGCTACACAGAGCCCATATCCACAGACAATAGCAACTGATATGTGAAGAATCCTCATACCACATCGCTGATTGACTTCCAGGTCACTTCTGCATTTCAATGTTGTTATCAGACAGTGCACTGGCAGCTATAATTGTAATGCTGTAGTAAGGACAGCATGCACTCAGGAGATGCATCCAACTCATGGACTGAACCAGGCTGCATTTCTGGGCTCTTCACCTGCTGTCACAGCATTAATTCACTTTGACCTTACTTGGATGCTCACGACATCCCTACTATGCACTGTTTTACCTTGCCTTTTTGTGCTTTGCCCTTTAGCAAGACAGACCTTGTTTATATTACTGCTATCTTATCCATTTAGCAAAGGCACAATGCCAGTAAGCTTGCCATAGTTGTCAGCAAGCCTTTGCGCAGGGATTCCTGAAACAGTAGATCAAAGGCAGCCTCCAATACCACTCCACGCCATGTTCAGGGTGGCCAGTGAATGAGGGAATATGTTGCAGGCAATAGTGAGAGTGATAGAGTACGAGCCTTTGTGGGAGATGGGTACAATAGCAGAAATAGAGTGAATATGAGGTATCAGAAAACACATAGTGACACTTATGCTGGCGGAGTGGTGAAGGACATTGATCATTTTCCTACATTGATAGGCATTCTTCCAGATGGCTAAGATTGCACTGACCTGGGTGGCAACTTTGAACCAGGCTGGCATTGTCTGGGATTGTGGCCACCACTGCTGGTCCTGAGGGAGAAAGTCCTGCATCAGCACCATCTCTTCCAACAGGACCTACAGGTACTGTCTGCAAAGTGGGACACCAAATTTCCCCTATCTGCCATGTCCAGGGTAAATGAACCATGCAGGCCTGCTGTGGACTGACAGCGTTGTCCAGATCCACAAAAGGCTTTTAAAAATGGCACGAGCGCATTATTTAAGAAAGGTGGCAAAGAAAAGCCAAGGAACTATAGACCAGTGAGTCTTACTTTAGTGGTGGGTAAGTTGTTGGAGGGGATTCTGAGGGACAGGATTTACATGCATTTGGAAAGGCAAGGACTGATTAGGGACAGTCAACATGACTTGGTGCATGGGAAATCATGTCTCACTAAACTGATTGTGTTTTTTGAAGAGGTGACAAAGAAGATTGACGAAGGCAGAGCGGTAGACGTTGTCTATATGGACTTAAGCAAAACATTTGACAAGGTTCCACATGGTAGACTACTTAGCAATGTTAGATGACACAGGATCTACGGGGAAGCTAACCAATTGGATACAAAATTGGCGTGAATATAGAAGACAGAGAGTGCTGGTAGAGGGTTGCTTTTCGGACTAGAGGCCTGTGATCAGTGCTGTGCCACAAGGGTCAGTGCTGGGTCCGCTACTTTTCGTCATTTATATAAATGATTTGGATGTGAATATAGGAAGCATGGTTACTAAGTTTGCAAATGATACCAAAATAGATGGACAGCGAAGAAGGCTACCTCAGAGTACAATGGGATCTTGATCAGATGGGCCAATGGGCTGAGAAGTTTCATTTAGATAAATGTGAGGTGTCGCATTTTGGTAAGACAAGCCAGGGCGGGACTTACAGAGTTAAAGGTAAGGTCCTGGGTAGTTTTGCCAAACAAAGAGACCTAGGGGTGCAGGTGGACGGCTCCTTGAAAGTGGATTTAGAAGTAGACAGGGTGAAGAAGAAGGGGTTTGGCAAGCTTGCCTTCAATGATCAGAACATTGAGTAAAGGAGTTGCGATGTCATGTTGCGGCCGTAAACAGGACATTGGTGAGGCCACTTTTAGAATAGTATGTACAGTTCTGGTCACTCTTCTATAGGAAGGATGTTTTTAAACTTGAGAGATTGCAGAAAAGATTCATAAGGATGTTGCCGGGACTGGAGGGCTTGAGTTATTAGGAGAGGCTGAATAAGCTAGGGAATTTCTCTCAGGAGGTCGGAGACTGAGCGATGGCCTTATAAAAATTTATACAATCATAAGGGGTATGGATAGGTGGAATGGTCTTTCTCCTAGGGTGGAAGAGTCCAAAACTAGAGGGCATAGGTTTAAGGTGAGAGGGGAGAGATTTAAAAGAGACCTGAGGAATAACTTTTTGACATAGAAGGAGGTATGCATATGAACGAGCTGCCACAGGAAGTGGTTGAGGCGGTTACAATAACAACATTTATTTGGCATCTGGATGGGTAACTGAATAGGAGAGGGTTTAAGGGGATATGGCAAATGGGATGAGGTCAGATTGGAATGTCTGGTCAGCGCAGAAGAGCCGGATGGAAGGGTCTGTTTCCGTGCTGTACGACTCTATGTTCGGTTTATGGTGAGTTGTTCAGAAACAAAAAGTCGAGCAGAAATTGGATGTGTACAAACACAGTAGGCATTCAACGATGGAAACGTCTAAGATAAGGTGAGAAAACGCACTAGACCTCATGGCAAGTGACCATTCAGAAAACTCAATACAACTTGGACTTAGCCAAGAAACATAAGACTCAGTCCCAATGCTTTCCTTTTAGTTACATCAGACAAGTTCTAGGTTTGCCAATTAAGTTGGGTCAGTATTTCCGCCTATCACCAGTTTTTAAAAATCACTCATGGGATGTGGGATGGCTGGCTTGGTCAACATTCAATGCCCATCCCAGAAGCAGGTAGTACAAGAAGGTAGAACTGCCTTCTTGAATCACTGTAGTCCACATGGTGTGGGTACACCCACTGTGCTGTTAGATAGGGAGTGGCAGGATTTTGAAACAAAGGAGTTGCAATGTTGTTCAAAGTCAGAATGGGTGTGGCTTGGCGGAGAACTTGAAGATGGTGGTGCTCCCATGTACCTGTCTTTCTGGTTTGTGCAGACACAGGATTTCAGACGCTGGAAAGATGTACTGCTTACATGTTCCGATTCAGATTATTTTAAATTCTTGAAGTTACAAGAAACAAATCGTCCTTTCACAATGGGAATTGCAAAGCTATCTCTGTCATGAGCTACTGGCACTTGCAGCTAAATTTCAGTCTAGTTTTTATTGACAAAATAATGATTTAAAAAAAATGTTCTCACCTTGTAATATTTCACAGCCAATTCTGGTCTTTGAGCCCTCAGAAGGAAAGCCTCAGCCTTTTGATATTCTTTCTGATCAAAGGCAAAACGTGCCTGACCAACCAAGACATCAGCCACACTGTCAGAGTCATGAGCTTCCGCCACCCTTTGGGCTGCATCCCAATCTTGATTATGCACATACCTTTCAAAAGTAACTACATGTTAAATGGCAAAAGAGTAAAACTATCAGTTTATACAATCAGTTATCCAAAATAAAAAGAAAGACTCACATGAGGACAGCCTCCTTTGATTTTCCTGCTTTAATGAATTCAATTTCTGCTTCGTGAAATTTACCCTACAATCGGTGAAACATGCTAAATTTAGTGCTAGAAGTTATCACAAATTAGACATTTCCCTTCAGAAATTTTACACCATTTCTCAATATTTAATTTCCTCAACTTAAATGTTATCATTCACTTGTGGCAGAGTTGCAATCATTTCTGAAATAGTTGATTGATAAATGATGCTTTGTAAACAGATAAGGAAATATCATAGCTCCTTGTTTGCTTCCAAATAAAACCTGCTGTATAATGCTATAAAACATTATTTTATGATGCTATATTACCAAAAGTACCAAGAAAAGCACCAATGGTAAGCACCATTATTTTGGGTACTTAGTTTTGAAGTTAACTCAGACATAAAAACAAAGGGATGTCAATTTCTTTCCACTAACAGCTAGTTTTCAGTCCATTAATCACACATCATACTATATGATCCATGCCTAAATTCTAGTAAATATACATCAATGCAAATCTTTAAAAAATGAGAAAAGTCAGTAATTGGCATAATGGACTGGATTTTACAGCCTCCCTACTCACATACCTGAAGGCAGGGGCAAGGCCCATAAGATGCATGCCTGGCATTTCCACCTGTCTTGATTGTGGCTCCCGCTTTATGCTGCGTGGGAAGGTGTCAGGCAAGTCCCCAGGCCTTGGATCAATTGAGGATCCTGACATAGCCAACTAATAGCACTTAAATGTTGAATTCTGACTTTACCACTATTTTATCAAGGCCAGCGACAGCCAGCAACTTTAGCTTCAGGAATCATAGAATCCCCACAGTGTTGAACCAGGCCATTCAGTCCATCATGTCCACGCTGTCCCTCCGAAGAGCATCCCATCTAGACACATCTCCTTAACCCTTCCCCGTAACCACACTCTTCCCACGGCTAACGCACCTCACCTACACCTCCTGAACACTATGGGCAATTTAGAATGGGCAATCCATGTGGGATGTGATGTCTCTGTCTAGGCCAGTGAATTTTCCATCCTTAGTTGGGGGAAGGCAATGGACTGGTGATATTATCCTAGACTGTTAATCCAGAGACCCAAGTAATTTTCTGGGGACCCAGGTTCAAATCCCACCATGGTAGAGGTTGAATTTGAATTCAATAAATATCTGGAATTAAGAGTCTAATAATGACAATGAATCCAATGTCAATTGTCGGAAAAACCCATCTGGTTCACTAATGTCCTTTAGAGAAGGCAACTGCCATCCTTACCTGGTTTGTGACTCCAGACCTACAGCAATGTGGTTGATTCTTAACAGCCCTCTGGGCAATTAGGGATGCTTAATAAATGCTGACCTAGCCAGCGTTGCCCTCATCCCATGAATGAATTTTTAAAAATTGCACAGAGGGCAGTTCAGAGTAAACCACATTGGTGTGGGTCTGGAGTCATATGTAGGCTTGACCAGGGAAGGATGTCAGATATCTTTCCCTTTAGTGAAGGACATTAGTGAACCAGATAAGTCAATTATCAGAAATTCACATTAGACCCTTAATTCCAGATTGTTTACTGAATTCAAATTCCCCAGGATGTGAACCCAGGACCTCAGAACTTTAACTAAGTTTCTGCATTAATAGTCTAGCGATAACACCACGAGGCCATTGCCTCCCCTTGCATATATGGCCAGGATCTCTTTAAGATCTTTCCAGATTAAGGAGGAAGTCACAATTTCAGGAATTTAAAGCTGGCTCCAGTGTAAAATTCCTGCAGGAAAATTGGCTATTTGGTGGGTACACTTCCTGCTGATTCTTTAAATATGATGCTCTGTAAAACTTGCCCAAAGTTAAATATCTTAGAGCAAAGAACAAAGAAAATTTCAGCACAGGAACAGGCCCTTCGGCCCTCCAGGCCTGCACTGAAATGCTGCCCGTCACAACTAAATCCCCCGACCCTTTTGGAGATCGTTTCCCTCTATTCCAATCCTATTCATGTATTTGTCAAGACGCCCTTTAAAAGTCACTATCGTATCTACTTCCACTACCTCACCCGGAAGCGAGTACCAGGCACCCACCACCCTCTGTGTAAAAAAACTTGCCTCATACATCACCTTTAAACCTTTCCCCCCGCACCTTAAACCTATGGCTCCTAGTAACAGACTCTTCCAAACTGGGAAAAATCTTCTGACTGTTCACTCTGTCCATGCCCTTTATAATCTTGTAGACCTCTATCAGGTCGCCCCTCAACCTCTGTCATTCCAGTGAGAACAACCCAAGTTTCTCTAACTTCTTCTCATAGCTAATGTCCTCCATACCAGGCAACATCCCTGGTAAATCTTTTCTGTACCCTCTCCAAAGCCACCACATCCTTCTGGTAATGTGGCGACCAGATTTGAACACAATATTCCAAATGCTAACTAAGGTTCTATAAAGCTGTAACATTATCTGCCAATTTTTAAGCTCAATGCCTTGGCCGATGAATGCAAGCATGCTGTATGCCTTGTTGACTACCTTCTCCACCTGCGTTGCCACTTTCAGTGACCTGTACACCCGTACACCCAGATGCCTCTGCCTATCAGTACTCCTGAGGGTTCTGCTGTTTACTGTATATTTTCCTCTGGATTAGACCTTCCAAAATGCATTACCTCACATTTTTCCAGATTAAACTCCATCTGCCATCTCACTGCCCAAGTCACCAGCTGATCCATATCCAGCTGTATCCTTTGACAGTCCTCATCGCTATCCGCAATTCCACCAACCTTTGTGTCGTCACCAAACTTACTAATCAGACCAGTTACATTTTCCTCCAAATCATTTATATATATTACAAACAGCAAAGGTCCCAACACTGATCCCTGAGGAATGCCATTAGTCACAGCCCTCCATTCAGAAACGCACTGTTCCACTGCTACCCTCTGTCTTCTACGACCGAGACAGTTTTTTATCCATCTTGCAAGCTCACCTCTGACCCCGTGGGACTCTACCTTCTGTATCAGCCGTCCATGAGGGATCTTGTCAAAAGCCTTACTGAAGTTCAGGTAGACAACATCCACTGCCCTGCCCTCATTGATCATCTTCACCACTTCCTCAAAAAACTCAACCAAGTTAGTGAGACACGACCTCCCCTTCATATTGCCTCTCGCTAATACGTCCACTTATTTCCAAGTGGGTGTAAATCCTGTCTCGAAGAATCCTCTCCAATAATATCCCTGCCACTGACGTAAGGCTCACCAGCCTGTAATTAGCTGGATTATCCTTGCCTCCCTTCTTAAACAAAGGAACAACATTGGCTATTCACCAATGCTCTGGGACCTCCCCTGTAGCCAGTGAGGATACAAAGATTTCCCTCAAGACCCTAGCAATTTCCTCCCTTGCCTCTCTCAGTATATCCCATCAGGCCCTGGGGAATTGTCTACCTTGCTTCTCAAGACCTCCAATACCTCCTCCCTTTTGATCTCAACATGACCCAAACTATATACACACCCTTCCCCAGCCTCATCATCCACTAAGTCCTTCTCTATGGACGCAAAGTACTCATTTAATTCGTTGCCCGTTTCCTCTGGCTTCCAACATAAATTCCCTCCCTTGTCCTTGAGTGGGCCAACCCTCTGCCTGGCTACCCTCTTGCTCTTTATATATGTATAAAAAGCCTTGGGATTTTCCTTAATCCTGTTGGCCAATGACTTTTCATGACCCCTTTTAGCCCTCCTGACTCCTTGCTTAATTTTCTTTCCACTTTGCTTGTATTCTACCCTTGCTTCGTGTGTCCCCAGCCTCCTAGCTGTGATAAATGCTTCCCTTTTCTTTTTGATTAGGCTAATAATATCTTTCATTATCCAAGGTTCCCTAAATTTAGTGTACTTATCCTTCATCCTTACAGGAACGTGCCGGTCCTGAGTTCCCAGCAACTTACACTTGAAAGCCTCCCATATACCGTATGTTGATTTGCCCTCAAACATCTGCCTCCAATCTATATTTTTCAGTTCCTGTTGTAATTAACCTTCCCCCAATTTAGCACCTTCACCTGACAACTACACCTATTTTTATCCATCAGTACCTTAAAGCTTACTGAATTGTGATCACTGTTCCCGAGCTGCTCCCCTACTGAGATGTCGACCATCTGGCCAGGCTCATTCCCCAATACTAGGTCCAGTACGGCCCCTTTCCTAGTTGGACTATCTACATACAGTTTCAAGAAGCTCTCCTGGTTGCTCCTTACAAACTCTGCTCCATCTGAGCCCCAAGCACTAAGTGAGTCCCAGTCAATATATGGGAAGTTAAAATCACTCACGACAACAACCCTGTTTCTTTTACATCTTGCCAAAATCTGCCCACATATCTGTTCTTCGATCTCTCGCTGGCTGTTGGGAGGCCTGTAGTAAACCCCAAACATTGTGATTGCACCCTTCCTGTTCCAGAGCTCTACTCATATTGTCTCTCTTTATGAGCCATTCGAGGTGTCCTCCCGCAGCATAGCTGTGATATTCTCCTTAACAAGTTGCACAATTCCCCCATCCCTTTTATATCCCCACTATCCTGCCTGAAACATCTGTATCCTGGAACGTTAAGCTGCCAATCCTGCTCCTCCCTTAACCAAGTCTCTGTAATAGCAATAACATCATAGTTCCAAGTACTAATCCAAGCTCTAAGTTCATCTGCTTTATCTTTTACACTTCTCGCATTGAAACAGATGCACTTCAGTCCACCAGTCCCACATTGTTTAATGACCACACCCTGCCTGCTCTTCCTCTACTGGCCCTATTCTCTCGTTCCCTTTCAGTCAATTCACCTTTGCTTTGGTTCCCACCGCCCTGCTGAGTTAGTTTAAAGCCTCCCGAGTGACACCAGCAAACCTCGCAGCCAGAATATTTGTGCCCCTCCAGTTTAGATGCAACCCGTCCTTCTTGTACAGGTCCCACCTGCCCCGGAGGAGATCCCAATGGTCCAGATATCTGAAGTCCTCCCTCCTACAGAATCTATTTAGCCATGTGTTGACCTGTACTATCCTCCTATTTCTAGCCTCACTGGCACGTGGCACAGGGAGTAATCCCAAGATTACAACCTTGGAGGTCCTGCTCTTTAACTTTCTATCTAACTCCCTGAACTGCTCGTCACTCATCCTACCTATGTCACTAGAACCAATACATACCACAACCTCCGTCTGTTCACCCTGTCTGTTCAGAATGCTTTCTGCCTGTTCAGAGGCACCCTGAACCCTGGCACCAGGGAGGCAACATACCATCCTGGAGGCTCTTTTACGTCCACAGAAGCGCCTATCTGTACCCCTAACTATAGAGTCCCCTGTAACTACTGCTCTAGTGCTCTTTGTCTTTCCCTTCTTAAGAACAGAGCCAGCCGTGGTGCCACCAGTCTGGCTGCTGCTGCTGTTACCCCCTGATAGTCATCCCCCCTAACAATATCCAAAATGCTATACTTGTTAGAGACAGGGACAACCACAGGGGATTCCTGCACTGGCTGCCTGCCCTTTCTAGCAGTCACCCATCTATCTTGGGTGTCACCACATCTCTAAAACTACTGTCTTATGACACTTTCTGCCACCCTCATGCTCCCAAGTACATCCAATTGCCGCTCCAACATATCCATGCGGTCTGTGAGGAACTGAAATTGGATACACTTCCTGCAGATGTCTCTGATCTCCCACATCTCACAAGTGCAGCACTTAACCCCTCTGACTGACATTTCTATCCCCAATCAAGCTGTTTAAGAAAATTTATTAAACACTTACCCTTATTAGTCGCTGCAAATACCCAAAGAAGGTCTTCCCTCACTCACCTTCCCAGGATGCTCCCTGGATCTCTCCACTACTTTTGCTTCTGGTCCTCACAGTGGAGTGTGTGCGCTTTTTTTTGGTTAGACAAGGAGGTAGGGAGGGAAACACTGAACAAGTGTTTGGGGTCGAACTGTCACTTGACAACAGCCCCTCCGCAAACCACTTTCTGGAAGCAGCAACTGCACTGATGCAGATCTTCCCCATTCAGCAAATCAGAGTCACCATTCTGCTGCCCTCTTCTGGGCTATTTGGGCTATTTATCTCTTAGATGTATTTTAGTCGATGTAAATTATAGTACTTTCACTCCAGCAATCTGATTTATAGTATTTAATCTAGGTCTTTATGCCATGTCATCATGTTGATAATGACACAAACACAATCAAAAATATGATCTTTCTGTGCTACTAGACCTGTAATTAATCAAATATCAACAAAGAAAAGTAACAACTTACCTCATCTTCTAGATACATAGCATGTTTGAGATGTATGTCTGGGATTTTATTTTTCATAGACAATCGTGACAGTTCAAAAGCAAAATCGAAAGAGCTGAAACAGAATTTACCACGTCATAAGCAATTATTGCATATGCATCTACATGATTTCTTGATTTTTCATAAAAAATTCATTAATTGCCAGAATCACAGAAAGAGATCTTGAATTAATACCATTGGCCACCCTTTCCCCAATCTTTCTATCTGTGTTTTTCTTTCAACTATTAATCTACTTTCCTTGTAAAGTGATTATAAGTTCTATGTCACTTTTATTTTCTGGTTGGGACCCTTCATGACGTATTAACGTTTTTGCACTAAACAAAAACCTTCCCTTTGATAATGTTAAGTTTGTGGCCTCAGGGATTTAGTTTAGAAAAGTTCTTCTTAAGATTTTATTGGTGTCTATCTTTTGGTTTTTAAAAGAACAAAGAACAAAGTACAATACAGCACAGGAACAAGCCTTCGGCCCTCCAAGCCTGCGCTGACACATTTTGCCCTTTCGTAATAAAACTGTCTTTACTTACCTCTATTCTCTTCCTATTCATGTATTCGTCCTGGTGCCTCTTGAATGCTGCTATTGTGTCTGCTTCCACCACCTCCACTGGCAGCACGTTCCAGGCACTCTCAACCCTTTCTGTGAAAAACGTGCCTCATACATTGCTTTTAAATATACCCCCTCACACCTTGAACCTGTGTCCCCTAGTTCTTAGATCCCTCCACTCTGGGGAAAAAGCTTCATACTTTCCACTCTATCCATGCCATTCACAATCTTATAAACTTCAATCAGGTCATCCCTCAATCTCCTACTTTCCAGTGAAAACAAACTCAGTCTATCCAACCTTTCTTCATAGCTAAAATCCCCCATCCTTTATTCATTCACGGGATGAGGCATTGCTGGCTAGGCAGCATTTAATGCACATCCCTAATTGCCCAGAGGGCAGTTAAGAGTCAACCACATTGCTGTGGGTCTGGAGTCACGTGTAGGCCAGGCCAGGTGAGGATGGCAGATTTCCTTCCCTAAAGGGCATTAGTGAACCAGATAGGTTTTTCTGACAACCATGGTCATCATTAGATTCTTAATTCCAGATATTTTATTGAATTCAAATTCCACCATCTGCCAAGGCAGGATTCGAACCTGGGTCCCCAGAACATTACCTGGGTTTGTGGATTAACAGTCCAGTGATAATACCACTAGGCCATCGCCTCCCCATATCAAGCAACATCCTGGTAAACCTTTTCTGCACCCTCTCCAAAGCATCCACATCCTTCTAGTAGTGTGGTGACCAGGACTGTACGCAATATTCCAAGTGTGACCTAACCAAAGTTCAATAAAGCTGCAGCATAACTTGCCTATTCTTACACTCAATGTCCCTTCCAATTAAGGCAAGCATGCCATAGACAACAGTGTGGAGCTGGAGGAACGCAGCAGGCCAGGCAGCATCAGAGGAGCAGGAAAGTTGATGTTTCGGGTCAGGACCCTTCCTTTTTCATTACTTTGCCTACCTGCGATGCCACCTTCAGTGATCTGTGGACCTGCACACCTAGATCTCTCTCCATATCAATAATCCTAAGAGTCTGCCATTCACTGTATAATTTCCACCTGTACTTAACCTTCCAAAATGCATCAGCTCACATTTGTCCAGATTAAACTCCATCTGCCACTACTCTGCCCATGCCTCCAACTGATCTATGTCCTGCTATATCCTCTGACAATCCTCCTCAATCCACAACTTCACCAATCTTTGTATCGTCAGCAAACTTACTAATTAGACCAGCTACGTTTCCCTCCAAATCATTTATGTAAACCACAAACAGCAGAGGTCCCAGCACTGATCATTGTGGAAAATCACTAGTCACAGCCCTCCATTCCGAACAGCGTCCTTCCACCGCTACCCTCTGTCTCCTGTGACTAAGCCAGTTCTGTATCCATCTTGCCAGCTCACCCTGATACCACATGATTTCACTTTTGTACCAGTCTGCCATGAGGAACCTTCTCAAAGGCTCTACTGAAGTCCATGTAGACAACATCAATTACTTTTCCCTCATCAATCATCTTCGCCATCTCTTCAAAAAACTCGAACAAGTTAGCAAGTTAGTTAAGTAATTGAAAACTCATGGTATTATGGTCACTACTCACGAAACTCACCCCCACTGAAACTTCACTCACCTGGCCGGGCTCATTTCCCAAAACTAGATCCAGTATAACTCCTTCCCTGGTTGGACTGCTTACATGCTGTGTCAATAAATTTTCCTGAATAGTCCTTACAAATTCTATAAAATCTATGAAATGCTCCATTGAAGTCCCTAGCACGAAGAGTGTCCCAGTTCAATGCAGGGGAAGTTAAACAACCTTGCTGTTTTTACATCTTTCTAAAATCTATCTACATATCCTCTCCTTCATCTCCTGCTGGCTGTTGGGAGGTCTGTAGTAAACACCCAACATTGTGATTTCACCGTTCCTATTCCTGAGTTCTACTCATATTGCCTCGCTGCAAGAGTCCTCTGATATATCCTCCCTCAGAACAGCTGTGAGATACTCCTTTACCAGTAATGCAAATTCCCCCATCCCTTTTACATCCCTTTCTATCACACCTGAAACATCTAAATCCTGGGACATTCAGCTGCCAGTCCTGTCCCTCTTTCAGCCAAGTCTCAGTAATCACAATAATGTCATAGTTCCAAGTACTAACCATCGTTCTGAGTTCATCTACCTTGCCAATTATACTTCTTGCACTGAAACATATGCACTTCAGACCACCTCCCCTGCTCTTTTCAACAGCAATTCCCTGTCTGTTCTTAGTCATGTTTGCCCTGGTTTCTACTTCTCCATCAATTTCTGCATTTAGGTGTTTAACTTTGTGTTTTCGGGGCTGCTTTCTCAATCTTACCGACTCATTTATCGGGTGATACAGTCACAAAGTAACAATACCTGCTATACTTGTATTGACATACATAGAATTTGGATTTGCACAGAAGCATTATTAGAAAAAATCATTTATATTCTCAATAATTTTCAACTGGTCATTAAACATTACACACAGGATTTCACACAGGATTTCTAAAAGCATTGATTGACTGGTCCCATGTATGTACATAAATCCTGAATGTTTTACAACGGACGCTTTGCAAAAATTATTAAGTATAACACCAGCAATGTTGCATCTGCAAGTAACAGAGTTTCAAATGGATATTATTGTATTTTGAAGCCAGACAGGGAGATTTCAAAATATCTTGCCTAAAGATCAACAACTCTTTGCTCCCTTTCCTTTTACAATTCCCTTCAGCAAAGTATGTGAGCTGAAACCTCCCTTTACAATTTTTAGAGGGTTCCTGAAGAGAATTTTGAACTTTACTCACTATCTCTAGCAGAGGGAATTCAGCTCGCTACACTGTTGCACGAAGACATCCGAGTACCAACAGTTTTTGTGTGCAGAATAACTTTGGGTAGAGATCACCATTTGGGACAATCATGACTAATCCTTTTCTTCTGTTTTTAACTGTCACTTCGTACTTTTAACCCTGTAGAGTGTGTATTTTTCGTTCTCCTCAGATTTGCTGTGCATAAATGCATATATTTGCACAGTCCAAGCTGTTTGTTAATAATCTTTACCTCTTTGTTAATTAACTTCATTTGTAATAAACTAGTTATTATCCATTGACTAATAAATTTGGCTGATTTGATCGTAAGGTTAAATCTAATCTAGTCCAAGGCTTATACACTGACTATATCACCACCTTGGTTAAATTAAAACTTTGCTTTGACCAGCGGAGGACTGGGACTGGTTCACTCCTCTAACTTCAGTTGTAATGACTGCAAATTTAATCTCAATCCAAGATTTAAATTTAACAACTGACACACTGTTCATTATAATAACGTGAGCCATATTTTGCCACCAATATAGTAGCTGCTGAACTGTTTTTATGGATATTTTATGGGATGTAGGCATTGCTGGCTATTTGACCATCCCTAATTCTCATTCTTATGGTTCTGGAATCACATGTTGGTCAGACTAAGTATGGTTGACAGATTTCTTCCCTAATGGACATTAGTGATCCAGATTGTTTTTGTGACAATTGCCAGTGGTTAGATGGTTGCCATTACGCTAGCTTTTTATGCTAGATTTTTATGCTAGATTTTTAAGGAATTCAAATCTCATCATCTATCATGATGGGGTACGAGCCCACGTTGCAAGAATATTAGCCAGGGTTTCTAGATTACTAGTCCAGGGTCTTTGCCACTCCACCACTGCCCGTTATGAAGCCTTAAGCTAGAGATACTACTACAAGGAATTCATTACCTCAGCAATTTAAAGTTTTACTGGCTATTAATCAGCTGAGTTTTCCTTTGCTGATAGGCATAAAATTATTCACTCTCCTTTAAAGCCTCCCTCTAAATACCTCAATCTCCTCATTCCTATTGCACCCGCTCCACCTCACTATCCCCCTCCTCATTCATTTTCTAACTCTTAAGTTTACGTAAGTGAACTCTAACTCATCCTGCTCCACTATTCCATGTTTTGACGTCTTTTGTATTTTCTTTATTAGTCTTCTCAAAATGAAGTACATGACATCCTACACATTAACTTTCATGCAACATCTATCCTGCTTTCTCAGCAAGATACTGCATGGCTTCCATTCTCCCTCTTGCAAACAAATACCAGCTCAAAGACATACACTTAGGAGGCATTAGAATTTAAACCAGAAGGGATCACACAGTGTACTGCACAGAGCTGTGAGTGACCAGAAGGATTTGCCAAGTCAACAGTCCTTAAGCAGTGCCTCAGGGGATAGCTTCCCTTCAGGAAAGAGCCCTAAGATCTAAATCTCCCTGATCTTGCTTTTAAAAGGAGGATAACTTTACTCAAATGAACTCTGTAAGAAAAAGGGTTAAGAAATTATCAAGAGCATTTTCCTTCAATGCTTCAGGATTTTGCTTTGAAGTCAGTTGTGAGTGATTGTAATGATGTCAGCCACATGGATCTCATAGTCTATGAGGTCCCTGATTGGGGCTGTTAACCTGGTCCAATCAGGGAGCCCTGTCTGACAGATATAAACAGGAGGGTCAGGGGTTCTGCTCACGATCAGGTTCTATGCTAGTTGGGTCAGTGTCTTGTACTTTGCACATGTAAATAAAGCATGACTTAGTGACGGGATACTGGCCTTTGTGGAGTTATTTCAGTGGCGACGAGAGAAAAGCATGCCCCTGAAGAGATTCGCTCGCAACAGTTGTCACTGAATTGGAGTAAGCATTTCTAGCTTCATGCTGCTATTTGGGAAGCTTGATTCGTTTGATCCTGCCGTCGAAGACTGGGCCCAGTATGTGGAAAGAATGCATTATTTTTTCCACACAAATTACATTGAAGCAGTCGAAAAGCAACAAGTAATTCTCCTAGCACTGTGTGTACAGGCAGCTTTTCAGTTATTAGGAGTCTAACTTTCCCGGAGGCACCAGACACTAAAACCTTTCACAAGTTGATGGATTTAGCGAAGGAATATTATGACCCTAAGCCACCTCCAGTTCTGAGACGCTATTGGTTTTACTTGACAATTTTAGAACCAGGAGAATTGAGACTTTTGACGAAGTTAAGATGACTGGCAGAGGCATGTGACTTTGGTTTAACCCTAAGTGGGATGCTAAGAGACTGTTTGTTATGTGGGATTAACAATGTGACCATGCGAAAGTGCTTACTAGCTGAAGCCCAAAGGGACTTCAAACTGGCCTTGTTGTTAGAAATGTTGCAAGTGGAGCTTATGAGTTACAGGGTATGGTAATGGAAGTGGACACCCTTCCCAGGCCAACTGAGCGTGGGGAACACCACTTGAGGGAATGCAATTGCATAGCAATTCAGGACATGCCCTGAATGAAGGGACCATAGGTCAGCCCACAGCAAGACTCCAAAACAAAGCCAAACCTTGGCCAAATAGTTAAAATTTTCTTGAGGATCTGGGCCATTAGGCCATCATAGTTGCAGATGGCATGCGGATTCAAGACAGCAAAAGAGTCCCACTGGGCCTGAACTGAGTAAGAGAACTCATAGGCCAGTATCCAGGAGAGCGCACACCCTGGAAATTCCACCTACAGCTGATTTAGAACAGTTAAATTGCTTAGTAACATCCAAATCAGAACCAATCAAAATAAATGTCAGATTAAATGGTCACCAAGTTCCAACGGAAGTGCAACTGTATCAGTGATCGTGGAACCAATCTTTACCAAAATTTGCTCTGGACACCAACACTTAAGTTTAACTAAGGCCTCATCCAGGCTGAGAACTTACACTGGGGAAGCCCTACAGATTAAAGGTAAAACTTTGGTTCTGGTCTCTTAAGAGAAGCAGCTGATTCAGTTACCACCGATTGTAGTAAAAGGTTTGGACCCAAACTTGATGGGGCGAAATTTGTTGAAAAATGTTCAACTTGATTGGTTCAACATTTTTCAAATGAAAAATGGACGTCTGAGTGAAGTCTTAATTAAATACCTGGAATTTTTCAGGGAGGTCTATGGACTATCAAAGTGGCCAATGTCACATTAGACATTGACCAAGAAGCATATTCCATGATTATTCAAGGCCCGCCTTACATGCAAAAGTACAGGCAGAAATCAGGAGGCTGGAAGGTGCAGGAATCATCAAACCAGCACAGTTTGTGGAATGGGCAGTAGTGATTGTACCAATTTTTGAAGCCGACAAGTAGGTTCACCTTTGTGGGGTTTTGAACAAACAGTGAGGCGTTTTTCGCAGCTGGATAGATACCCAATCCCTTGCAAACATGGCTTGTATGCAAAACTGGCAGGGGTCTGTCCTTCACAAAGCTGGACATGAGACATGCCTACCTGCAACTGCAACTAGATGAGATCTCCCAGAGGTACGCTACAATTAATACCCATAAGGGTTTGTACCAGAATATGAGACTGTCTTTTGTGATATTATCAGCCTGTGCCATTTTCCAGCAAATGATAGAAAACACTTTACAAGGTCTACCGCAAGTTGTTATTTATGTGGATGATGTTTAATAACTGAGAAGACCAATAAAGAGCATTTACAAAACTTAGACATAGTGCTTAAATGTTTCTCCAAGGCGGGTATACGCCTTAGGATGGAAAAATGTGTGCTCCAGGCACCCCAAGTGATGTACGTGGGCTACAGAGTTGACAAGATTGGGTTACACTCGTTGGAAGATAAAGTGAGGGAGATCAGAGGTGCCATGGATCCTACGTCTTTACTGGAGCTTATGACTTTCCTTGGATTGGTGAATTATTATGGAAAACGTATACGTAACCTGGCCTCCATCCTAGCACCCATACATTTGCTATTGAGAAAGGGTCAGCCTTCCAAATGGTCTCATAGCCAAGACTTGGCTGTAGAGAAGTGAAGAAGCAGCTACTGTTGTCCAAGGTGGTGGCACACTACAATCCCAAGTGAGATGCGGTGCTGATGTGCAATGCTTCTCTGCATGATATCAGGGTAGTGTTAGCTCCCAGATGGCATAATGGGGAGGAACAAGAGGCAGTGAAATGGCATCAGGAATGTCAATGCCAGACAAAAGACTCCTTTGAGCAAGACAGACAGTGGGGACAAGGTTTGGTGTGGAAACCATGGGAATAGCCCTGCCTCGTTAAGAGGCATGGCCAACACGAAGCCAAGGTCCCGTGACATACAAAGTTTGGGCAGGTGAGACAGTCCTGAACAAGCAAGTGGACCACATGAAAGCTGCAACCTTGCAAACAGGGCAGGAGCAAAACATAAATGGCCCTTCCAAACATCCGGCAAGGATGTCAGAAATCATGGATTTTGCCCCTTCGCCTAGAGTTACAGAAACCTCTGAGGACAGGATGGACATGACAGGTGTTGCAGTCTCTATGCCATTATCGCCTGAAGACGACTTTCAGCCAAGATGCTCCAGGCACAAGAGGTGGGCTACGGTCCGGTACATATTGCCAGTATTTGAGGCAGAGTCTGAGGAAACAGAACTGACACAAAAAAGCCTCAGGAGAAGCTACGAGAAAAAGAACAGTCCTGTGTTCCAGGACTTAGAAGGGGAGGGATGAAGTGATTGGTACGATGTCAGCCATATGGATCTTATAGAATATGAGATCCCTGACTGGGGCTGTTAACCTGCTCCAAAGAGGGAGACCTGGCTAACAAATATAAACAGGTGTGTCAGAGGTTCTGTTCACTCTAGAAGTCTGCTCTGTGCTAGTTAGGTCAGTATCTTGTACTATGCACGTGTAAATAAAGGGTAACAAGGTGTGGAGCTGGAGGAACACAGCAGGCCAGGCAGCATCAGAGGAGCAGGAAAGCTGACATTTCGGGTCTGGACCCTTCTTCAGAAACGAAACGTCAACTTTCCTGCTCCTCTGATGCTGCCTGGCCTGGTGTGCTCCTCCAGCTCCACACCTTGTTATCTCAGACTTCAGCATCAGCACTTCCTACTATCCCTGTAAATAAAGGGTGGCTTGGTGATGGGATACCAGCCTTCATGGACTCATTTCAGGCTGTCCCTATCACTATTAAGTATGCTACTTATTTTGTTTCCTAGGGCTTGACACAGGAAGGAGAGAGGAAATTTCAAATAATTTAATATGAAATTACTTAAATTACCATTTATGTTTACATGTATCTCACCAGTTATCAGCTGCATAGTCAATTGCTGTTTCCAGAAGACCAAATTTAGTTAGCAACTTAACTGCGGACTCTCCTCCCAGGCTCTTTGCCCATAAGTAAGCCACTTGTTTATGGGCATTTGCACCTCCATGGGCTTTAGAAACCTGCAAGGAAAATATATGAAATTATGAAAATCAAGCTTTTAAATTGTTTCAAACTTGTTCAAGTTTAACAAAAATAAAAGATTTGACTAGTGAAGCAACATTTGATTTGCCATTTAAATACAACAAACAAATCCACTATTAATTTATTTTGTGAATACAAAAGCATTTTCACTTATTTTTGTATATTTACCACTATTTTTGTGTGATTGGTTTAAACTGTTTTTGTTAAATGTTAAGTAGAACATACCGATTTTACAGGCTCCTCAATCTCATCATTTGTTCAATCAGCTTTAAACCAATACATTAACCAGGGAAGCAATGGTGCAGTAGTATTGTCACTAGTTGAATAAACCAGAAAGACAGTTTCCAATCCTACCATAACAGACTTGAAAGTTGAATACGATAAAAAAAATCTGGGATTAGAAGTCTAGTGATGATCGTGAAACAATCGTTAATTGTTGTGAAAACCCATCTGGTTCACTAATGTACTTTAGGGAAGAAAAACATGCTGTCTTTCCCTGGTCTGGCCTACATGGAGTCCAGACTCAAAAAGTAGTTGACTCTTGAATGCCCTCTGAAATCCCTAGTAAATCATTCAGTTTTATCAACTCTCAAGAATCTTAAGATCGATCACCCAGCATCAATCTAGGCACTGGAAATTAAAGTTGACAAAAGCAGCCCTATCAACACTCCAAAGTCCTCATTGCCAAAATTTGGGGCTAGCGTTAAAATTGGGAGAGCTGATTTGCAGATTAGTTAAGCAACAGCCTGTCATAGTAACAGTCAGGGAATCATACTTTACACACAATGTTCCAGAAAACACGATTACCAGCCCAGCAGAGGTGGCAGCATAGTTGGGATGGAGTTGCTCTGGGAGTGCTCAACATTGAACAGTCAACATTGATAGAAACATACAGAAACAGAAAATACATGCAGGAGTTGGCCATTCGGCCCTTCAAGCCTATGCCACCATTCAATATGATCATGGCTGATCATGCAATTTCAGCATCCCACTCCCACTCTCTCCATAGCCCTTGATCCCTTTAGCTACAAGGGCCACGTCCAGCTCTCTCTTGAATTGGCTAATGAACTGGCCCCAACGGCTTTCTGTGGTAGAGAATTCTACAGGTTCACAACTCTGAGTGAAGAAATTCTTCCTCATCTGAGTCCTGGTGGCTTACCTCTTATTCTTAGACTGTGACCCCTAGTTCTGGACTTCCCTCAACACCGGGAACATTTATCCACATTTGCAAAGTATTTGCCTGTCCAAGTCACCCTGCAGCCTCTTTGCATCCTCCTCACAGCATACAGTGCCACCCAGCTTAGTGTTGTCTGCAAATTTGGAAATATTGCATTCCATTCCTTTGTCCAAATCGTTAATGTATATTGTGAACAGCTGGGGTCCCGGCACTGAACTCTGCGGTACCCCGTTTGTCACTGTCTGACACTCTGAAAGGACCTATTTATTCAACTCTTTGCTTCCTGCCTGCTAACAAGTTCTCCATCCACGTCAATACCTTACCTCCAATACCACAACCTTTCGTGTTCTTGTCAAAAGCCTGTTGAAAGTCCAGGTGCATAACATCTACTGATTCGCCCTTGTCCACTCTACTGGTCACATCCTCAATAAGTTCCAGAAGATTTGTCAAGCATGATTTCTCTTCAGTGAATCCACGCTGACTTAGACCGATTCTGTCGCCACTTTCCAAATGCTCAGTTACTACATCCTTAATAATGACTCCAGCATTTTCCCCATCACCGATGTCACGCTAACTGACCTACAATTCTCCATTCTCTCTCTCTCCCTCTTTTTTGAAGAAGTAGGGGTACATTAGCTACCCCCCAGTCCATTGGAACTCTTCCAGATTATATAGAAAGCTGGAAAATCATAGCTAATATGTCCACTATTTGAAGGGCCACATCCTTAAGTACTCCGGCATGCAGAGCATCAGGCCCTGGGGACTTATCAGGTTTTAATCCCATTAATTCCCCAATATCATTTCCTGACTAATAAAGGATTTCCTTAGGTTCCTCTTCATGCTTGTCCTTCTGTCCCCTAGCATTTCAGGAAACTTATTTGTGTCTTCCTTAGTGAAGACAGATCCAAAGTATTTCTTCAACTAGTCTGCCATCTCTTTGTTGTTCATTATGAATTTACCTGATCCTATCAAGTCTCATGGCATCAGGTCAAATACGGGCTAGGTTGATGAATCAGTATTTCTCCATGTTGAAAACTACTTAGAGGAAGCACTATTGGCTTCAGGGGTGCAGAATGAACTCAGGTGGCAAACTTCAAAATCTATCGTTAAGTGTGACTCAGCAGCACCTTTACTGACTGAGCAGATCGAGTCCTAAAGGATATACCTGTGAGACTGGGTCTGCAGCAGGTGATAGGAGAACCAACAAGAGACAAAAACATAAATTACCTCATCCTCACCAATCAGTTTGCTGCAGATGCATCTGTCCATGGAAGAATGACCACCACACTTGTCCTGTGTTCACCTCCATCATGTTGTACAGCACTATCAACATGCTGAATGGAACTGACTTCAAACAGACTGAACAAGTCAAGTCTGGGCATCCATGAGGTGCTGTGGGCCATCAGGTAAAAGCAGACCTGTACTTAAACACAACCTCATGCCTTATGGCCTGGCATATCCTGCCCTCCACCACTGCTATCAAGCCAGGGGATCAATCCTGGTTTAATTAAGAATGCCGAAGGGCATGTCAGAAGAAGCAGCAGGCTGACTTAAATATCAGATATCACTCTGGTGAAGCTACAAAACAGGTTCGTTTCTGTCCCAAACAGCACAAGCAGAAAGTGATAAATAGAGTTAAGCAATTTAACAACCAATGGATCAGATCAGAGCTCTGCAGTTCTGTTTCATCCAATTGTAAATGGTGGTAGACAATTAAAACTTACTGGAGAAGGAGGCTCCATAAATAACCCCATCCTCAATGGTAGGACAGTGCTGCACATCAGCGCAAAAGATAAGGCTTCATCCAGAGTGCTGTGTGGATAACACAACTATGCTTGCTCCAGATGTTCCTAGCCTCACAGCTGCACATGATATCAAAAAACAGCTGGAGACAATGAATGATGGCAAACCTTTGGGCCCTGACAACACTCTGCTAATAGCTCACTACCACCTTGATAAGTGCACTAGGGATGGTCAATAAATGCTGGCACAACCAGCAAAGCCCACATCCTATGAATGAATTTTTGTAAATTGATTACACTGTACCAGCTTAGAATAAAATTGAATACCATCAGTATTGTCTAATTTTTAATAAAGATTGAATTTTACATTTATGAATTTTACATTCTTAAATAGAAAAATGATTTAGATATAGTACGTGGATATTTTACACTTCAGTACACATAAAAACACTATACACCAGCCAATTATCTGCTGTCCACTAATTTTAATGAATTACTTTAATGGACTGCAGCGGTTCAAGAAGGCAACTCACCAGTACCATCTTTGTATTGCAACTTAGAATGGGCAATAAATGCAGGCCCAGTCAATGCCACCCGTGTCCCATGGGTAGGAAAAAAACATTTGGGATAGGGCTCTCAATTTCCTGAAACGTGCTTCAATTAATACCAAAAGATCTTGCCTTCTATTCTTTCAAAAATACCAAAGATGCCTTTTTATAATGTAGCTTTGTCCTTCCCCTCTGAATTTCTGGAGACAAACTTTCTTGTTTATGCTCATCATACTTAAGTGCAATGACATTGAGGCATGCACACTAAAGTACAGTTGGTCAAATTGAGAAAAAGGTGTCCCGAGTATGAACACAGGAAGAAAAATAAGTGAATATAACAAGCTGAAGAAATTATCATAGCATGACTGAAGCAACATCACATGATAACTAATTACGAGTTCATATTCTATGGTAGTGCACATGGGTAAAAGGTCTCTCTAAGTTAGAGGCCAGGAAGTGAAGAGGGAAAGGTAGAACATGGTCAAAGGATGAGAATGAAGGGCATGAGGGGAAAATAGCTGAGTTAAATGCTAGAGTGAAGAAGACAGATGTGAGAGGAGGACAGAGAGGGTTTAAGTGGATCCAGGCGATGGGCAGCAAAGGGAAGGAAAGAACCAGGAAAACAAGAATTTGCAAAAGTGGGTGGGGGGGCAAAGAGGAAGACAGTGGGAAGAGATGGAATAAGAAATGAAAAGATACCATAAAAAGGGACAAAAGGTGTGGGAGAGAGGCGGAGTGGAGAGGGTAAGAGAATAGAAGACAAGAAACAGCCCATACTTAATCACTATTGCGGCAGGTACAAGCAGCAGGGCAGAATGTCCCCATCAATTTTACAATAATTGGCAAGGGTAAGGAACTCAGTCAATGTCTTGGCTGTGAAACTACAGGGAAGCAGAAAAATATGTGGTAATACATGATGGCTGTACAACATGCGAATTCTGTGAGAAAGATGCACCAAAGGAAATCTCCAAAGAGTCTGAAAGGATTTGGCAAGAGGCAGACTCCTCTTAGCATGTTAGAATAAAGCAGAGAAAACAAGAAACTGATAGGTAGCTGAAGACTAACAGCCAGTAATATAGAAAAGTGAAAACATTATATTAAAATATAAAGATTATTTAATTTGATAAACCAATTTCTCTGATCTTTTGAGATTTAGAATATTGTGAATAGTTCTTGTAATGAAACGACTTCCAGTCAATTACAAAATGAATCTAAGGGCTGAGATTAAATGTGCAACAGCATGTCAGTTTATGAGCAGCTGTGGTGGGGAATGTTGCGGGGGTGGTGGGTGGTGAGGTTTGTTAAACCACGGAAACTGACAGCATGTCAGGAAGCTGACTTCCACCATTAAAAGGTATAATAGACAGTATGCAATCAACCCCATCAAGAGAAACAGGCTGTCAATTTCAATATGTTAATCACTTGATTACAGAAATATCAACATTCCTTCTACAGTTTAACTCTGGGTCAGTAAAAGCAAGGCTTTTAGTGCCAGTTGAGAAGACTGAAGACACAATAGTGAAATATCCCAAAAATATTGCAACCTCACAACTGCTTTCATGGCTGCATGTGTGAAAGGCTTTGTTCTCAGCATTTGTATGAAAGGTTAAGTTGACAACTTTGGAGGTATCTTTAACAACTTTAGATCTGTACATCTGATCTTTGGATATGCTTATGTTGTGATTCTTTGAATATCAGATGAAGAAAAAATTATTAGCAAGAGCAGGAAAAGCACCAGTAGAACAGAAAAAAAATGGTGCTAAGTCGGCCAAACAGTCCATCAAGCATACTCCACTATTCAATAGGGTCAGGTTGGTGGATTTTGATCACAACTTCACTTTCCCATCTAATCTCTTATTTCTTGATTCCTTGGAATCTAATACATTGCTCTTGAATATACTTAATGATTCAGCATCCACAGCCCTCTCAGATAGAGATTCCAAAGATTCACGATTCTCCAAGTGAAGAAAGTACTCCTTGTTTAATTCTAAATTGGCCATTCCCTTACCCTAAGTCTATGCACCACCTCCTTGCACCTGCAGCAGGCCCCCCCCGCCACCCCCACAATTCTTCAAAATTCCTGTGAATTTAGACCTATTCTATGTAATCTCTACAGATGTGACAAATCTGTCATCCCAGTAAATTCGGAATCAATCAAGTAAATCTTCAATAAACATTCAAAGAATTATATGCAAGGTCAGTACTGTAATTCCTTGCTTAAAGTTGTTTTGCTTTCCTGAAAAGTGCATTTTTAATTGAAACAATTTAAAATAAATCAGATTTTTCCATAATTGGAATTATATTTATTTTCTTTTAAAAGTTAAAGTATAAAAGATACACACTAACTTGGTCCTGTAGGCTAAGTCTCTCTCCAACTTTTCATTTACCTGCCTGACTATCTCAATTGCCACTTCCCTGCTCAGTTCCCCTTTTGCCATTTCTCTGCCTGATTATACCAATCGCCACTTCCCCAACTTTTTCACCCGATACTTTACTAGCCAAGTTCCCCACTCGCTGTTTTCCTGCCCAACCTTCTTGCCCACCACTTCCCACCTGACTCTTTCACCCGCCACTTCCCTGCCTGAATCTTTTACCCAATACTTCTAAGTCCAAATCTCTGAACTGCCACTTGCTGGCCTGACTCTCCTGCCTACCAAATGAATCTAGTAGCTATATTGTGAAGTTCTGAGGAAGGGTCACTCAATGCGAAACGTTAACTCTGATTTCTGTCCATAGATGCTGCTAGACCTGCTGAGCTTTCTCAGCAATTTCTATTTTTGTTTCAAATATATAAGAAATCCAACTGGCTTCTTTACCAAGGCTACTAATTAACGTAGATCATGGCAAAAGTTAACTTGGTGTTATGAGACGATCCTTCTTTATGTACTTGCAGGGTAAAATTGCATAAGAACTGATATGCAGTAAATCCTCTGCACCCGTGAGTTCACGACTCATGAATTCACCTAGCCATCAAAAAGTAAGTAGCAACAAAATTCAACATCCACGGACAAATTCGTGTATCTGTGATTGTTACCCTGTTTTAATCTGTACTTTTCGGGCTCATGGGTGTTCTCAAAAATGGAACTCTCGTTGCATACAAAGAAATGATTGCACTAGTGTAGGCTTGAAATGTCAGAACATGGGGTGATACACAAATCAGGATTTCAGGAAATGTATGATAGGACTACCTTTTCCTTTGCTTAGTTAATTAAATCGTTTTTAGCACTGAATCCATAAACATAACACCAAACTTCCTCTTGCACTCTCTGCTCAAGTGCTCCGGTTTCCTCTCACAATTCAAAGACGTACTGGTTAGGTGGATTGGCCATGCTACATTGCCCTGTAGTGTCTAGGTGTTATGGGGACTTGGTGGAGGTGTGGGTTTGGGTCGGCTGCTCTTCAGGGGTTCGGTGTTGATCTGTTGGGCTGAATGGCTTTTATCTGCACTGTAGGGATTATATGATCTAAAAGCTGAAACAAGGATTTTGAACACAATACTGTTCACAGCAATCTGATGCACACCAAACATCCAGTTGTTGTGACAACATATACTATTACATTCAAGTTGCGTACATAACCTAGATCTTGGCTCTGCCCTCTGCAACTGGATCCTCAGCTTCCTGACCCACAGACAGCAATCAGTGAAGATAGACAACTGCATCTCCGCCACGATAACACTCAGCACTGGAGCCCCTCAAGGATACGTTCTCAGCCCCCTACTGTACCCCCGTACACTCATGACTTTGTTGTCAACCTCTGAACAAGCGCCACCTACAAGTTTGCTAATGACACCACCAATATAGGATGGATATCAAACAATAACAAGGCAGAATACAGAAAAATGATAGAGGGCTTGGTGACCTGGTGCAATGAGAATAACCTCTCTCTCAATGTCAGCAAACTAAAGGACTGATCATTGACTTCAGAAAGAAGGGAGGAGAACATGCCCCCACCTACATCAATGGTGCTGAGGTTGAGAATGTGGACAGCGTCAATTTCCTACAAGTGATGATAACCAACAACCTGCTCCAGACTTCCCACGTAGATGCGATGGAAAAGAAAGCACAACAATGCCTCTTCTTCCTCAGGCAGCTCAGGAAATTTGGCATGTCTACAACGCCCCTCACCAACTTTTACAGATGCACCACTGAAATCATACTATCCAGGTACATACGGCCTGGTATGGCAACTGCTCTGCTCAGCACGATAAGAAACCAAAGAAGGTGGTATGCGCAGCTCAGACCATCATAGAAGCCAACTTTCATCCACAGACTTTATTTACACGGCCCATTGTTGCAGAAATGCTGCCAACATCTTCAAAGACCCATCACACCACGGCAATGCTCCCCTACAAGCTCTTCCGTCAAGCAGAAGATACAGAAGCTTGAACACATGCACCAGCAAGTTCAAGAACAGCTTCTTCCCAGCTATTATTAGACTGATGAATGGACTCTGTAATTTCAAATAAAGCTGATCTTGCTAATGTTGACCTTGCGAAGCACAAAACTGTGCAATATAAATTGTATACCTCTGTCTAGTTTTTTTTCACCCTATGATCTATATGTCCTTCCTTTCTATGATCTGCCTGCACTGCTTGTAAACAAAGCTCTTCACTGTACTTAGGTGCACGTGACAATAAATCAATCAGTAAATGTAGTTTTGGATAATGATGCTCGAGGCTGGAATTTCTTTCACGAGACAGCTGACTGCTTTTACTGTCTGCCACTGTCATGTGTTGGGAAGACTTACAAGTTGATACTCAACCTGTTTGGCATTACTCATTCCTTGGCCATCAAACATTAGAGTGGGACATGAACTCTGAGTTTCAGGCTCAGGGCAGGGGTACTACTCAGTACACCACAAGATCTCCCCAGTAGCATATTTCTGTCACTAAATTCAGAGACAACTACCAGCTAGGCTTTCTTTCTTTTTCCGGTAGATTTCTTCTTTCTATCCATAGTGGTAGGAAGTTCTTCCATAGTGAAGAAAACCATCTTGCGCACTTTACAGCCCTTTGCATCATACCCAAGGAAGCATTACTAAAACAAAGCAAAGCATTTCGGCATTTGGATTTTATCTTGCTGATTCTTTCTGCTACACTTCCAATTCCAAAGAATCATAAAATGGAATATTTGGAGCATCCCTTTATGTGTTAAGACTGAAATTAACTCATGTGGATCATCATTAGATCAACTCATTGTAAACTGTGAACAATATAGTAACACAATAGCTGGGTTAAAAAGCCACTGACAGTCACATTACATTTAATTCCAGGTTTCTGTAAACTAACAAGCATCACACCACATGCCTTATTGCTCCCAAATTGTCAGGAACATAAAGCCCAAACATACAGGTGTATCAAATAAAACAGATCTTCTTACCCTATAGGCTTCATCCCACATATCATTGACACGATACATATTCACTATTGCCTTCCATTCTTTTGCTTCCAAATAATGGTACTCAGCTTCTCGAAAACGGCCTTCACTTTCCAGTTCCTATAGAATTGCATGCAAATCAAAATGCACTTTAATCAGATAAACTTTAGAATTGATTTTGGGAATTGTATATATAGATTTTTTACTTAATTGCTTGCATCTGCAAAGGCTTTAATATGACTTTCTACAAAAAAAGCAAACATGTATGGTTTAGATCCCCATAACACTTTCTTTTATATCTCTGAGGTATTTGTAGCACATGACGATGGAAATCTTCATGTAAATTTTTAAAAATGCAAGTAAAAGATAGAAATATATTAGCTTCATTATAACTTGACAGAAAACATCCGAATAAATCTAAAATCAGCTCGTTTTAGTAGGAAAATTCAGTTGAAAATAATTAAGTCTAAATTTTCAACCTATGCAGCATCAAGATTTAGAATTGCATTCATGTTGTATTAAAATCATTGATAATGTATATATAAAAATACAATGATTTTTAAATATTAATTAAATAAATAATAATTTGACGGCACCTTTTCCATTGTAGTTTTCACAAAACTTATATGATAAACTTTAGCACCTTATTGTGTACTTTTGTAGACAGCCAGTACTACCAGATTATTGAAAGATTGTTGAAAACATAGTTGACCTGTATTCATTCATTATCCCTTACCTTTGCAAGATGAAGGTGGGTATCCGTGAGCAGGTCCTTGTGATATTTTGCTACAAGTCGAATCATGTCATCATACATTTTAAGCTTCTTATACATTGTGATTGCTAAATCAGGTTCATCTACTGTAATGTACAACCTGCAGCAAAAAAATGAACTGTCATTACAACAGTGTACAAATATATCTATTGTTTGTGGCACAGAACATCAGATGTAGATACAATAGTCTTCGATCTATGTTTCAGTGCAGTGGATATAATGCCTTTAAGGTCCTCCTGTGGTTACACACACCAAATCCTGCGATGTTCAACAGAATAGGAAAAAAGGGTGGGGGAAACTATCTTCTGTACACAGAGTGGAGCAAAGGTTAAAAAAGAAGTTAAGATTAGAAAAAAGTATTTATAGTTTAGTGATGCATAGTTCAGAAGAAACTTTCTGGAATAGGTCAGTTTGCAGTTCTTGGCCTATTCATTCAGAATTACACACCAAAGGCACACATCTCATTACGCAGTGAAAAAAAACCATGCCCCATCTTGGTCTCTCCCAGTGGTCCTCAGCATCACAGATTCCAGTCTTTAACAAATTCAACTCACTCTATGTGATATGAAGAAATGGCTGAAGGATATTGCAATTTATATTGCAAAAGCTATGATCCCTGTCAACATGCCTGCAATAGTACTGCAAACGTGTGCTCCAGAACTTTTATGTTCCTAACCAAGCTGTTCCAATAGAGCATCAACCTGACGATGTGGAAATTTGCCTAAGTATGTCCCATGCACAAGTGCAGGACAAATCCGATCGTATCAGTTACCACCCCATCACTCTATCTTGAACATCAATAAAGTGATGGAAGCACTTACTTAGCAATAACTTGCTCACTGGCTCTAGTTTGGGTTCCACAAGGGCCACTTGACTCTTGATCTAATGACAGCCTGGACACAACATGGACAAAAAAACAGCTGAATTCCAGTTGCAGTTGATTGAGTGTGGCATCAAGAAGCCCGAGCAAAACTGGAGTCAATGTGAATCGGGGCAAGTCTCTCCACTGATTGGAGTCATAACAAGCTGTTGTTGGAAATCAGTCATCTCACCCCCAAAGCATCTCTGCAGGAGTTCCTCAGGGTAGTTTCCTAAGCCCAACCAGTTTCAGCTGCATCATCAATAATCTTTCCTCCATCATTATGTCAGAAGTGGGGAGGTTGGCTGATGATTACATAACATTCAGTACCATTTGTGACTCTTCAGATACTGAAGGAGTCCATATTCAAATGCAACAAGATCTGGACATCATCCAGGCTCGGGCTGACAAGTGGCAAGTAACTTTTTCACCACTCAAGTGCTAGGCAGTGATCATCTCCAACAAGAGAGAATCTAACAATCAGGCATGGATATTCAATGGCAATAAAAGCACTGAATCCCCCATTGTCAACATCCTGGTGGTTACCATTGACCAGAAACAGAACTAGACTAGCCATATAAATAATGTGGCTACAAAGACAGGTCAGATGCTAGGAATCCTGAAGCGAGTAATTCACCTGCTGATTCCCCACAGACTGTCCACAATCTACAAGTTCAGGATTGTGTTGGAAAACTCGCCATTTGCCTGGATGAGTGCAGCTCCAACAACACTCAAGAAATTTAACACTATCCAAGACAATGCACCAACATGGTTAGTCCTACATCCACAAACATTCAGCCCCTCCACTACTGAAGCTCAGAAGCAGCAGTCTGCACCATCTACAATTTGCACTGCAGAAATTTACAAAGGCCCTTTAAACAGTATTTTCCAAATCCCCAATGCCTACCATCAAGAAGGACAAAGATAAAAGATACATGGGAACATGATCATCTCCAAGTTCCCCTCCAAGCCACTCACCATCCCGACAGGAAACATATTGCGGTGGCCTCAATGTCACTGAGTGAAAATCCTAGAACTCTTCCCTAATGATAAAGTGGGTCCACTCACACCAAATAGACTGCAGAGTTTCAAGAAGGCGGGTCATCATCTTCTCAGCGACAACTAGGGATAGGTAACAAATGCTGCCTCAGCCAATGACAGCCACATTCCATGAAAGATTAAAAAAATACATATAAATACTTATTCAGTGACATTGAAACATGGATGTGCTGGGAATGCATTCTATATATTATTATGCAATGCAACAATGTGCTCTTACGGTTTATTAGATTCCCGAGAAGACGAAGTGATAATTCACTGAACTTTACTTAGGTTTAGAAAGCAAGGTAGTTAAAAGAGACTTTGCAAATTGAAAGTGCTAATTGGAATTACCTGCCCAGCAGTAAGACACTTGTGTAAAAACCACTGTTCACACAGGCAGTAGTTCTAATTTTAACTAGTGAATTATTTTCCTCAAACAGTTCTCCTTTTTGTGGATCTTCTGCGCATTATTTTCTTAAATATTAAATCAGACCCCCAGTTAGAGTGAAGTTCACATCAATTTTAGTTGAGGATTTAACAGATCAGTATCCATTTGTTGAATTAGGCAGCAAAACACTTTCAGAGATTTACAAGGATTTTGTTGTAAATGTGTAGGTTTAGCAAAGGTGCCAGTTTCCCCCTTTCCCTTCTGGATCCTTTCCACACCTAAATGCTGACTTCCCATTGCAGAAAAACTTAACCTTTTTTTCTTTTATTTAAATAAATCAAATGGACAAAATAAACAAGGAACTAATTACTAACACAAGAACCCAGCTCGATTTTTCAAGTTATAGTAATTTGTTCAGGCATGTTAAAACACAGCTCTGCACAGGTGGTACTTGAACCCTGGCCTCCTGACCCAGACACGATCATTGCACCATAAGAGCCCAAAAAATTCCAGTTCCTTTATTTTTCTTATATCCAGAGATGCACCCAAGTTACTTTTTTATAATGTGGTGCACATGGACTTCCTGCAAACGTAATACATTATTCTGGCAAGCAAAATCTGCAAAGGAGTGGGACTTATGCCCCTTTGTGAGAGAATGTTCTGTCTTCAAGAGCTGCTGGTCAATCTGACTGGATGGCAGCTCTAGCAGATCCAGGAGCAGCAGAATTCAGTACCTAGTGGACAGGGCTGGGAATTTAAGAATGCCCACATAACTTGATGGATCCTGAGAGCAGATAAGTCCCATCCTTGAAAGGGTGGGTGAGTGGGTTATGGTGACCAGATGAGGAGAAACAAAAGGGGGAGAATATTTGTGGGAGTTCCCCTAATATGCACAGGATATCCCTCAAAGGACATTCCCCTTTCTTCCCCTTTCTTTTACAAACCATGTTTAAAAAATGATCAACCCATTCCTGCCTACAAGCTCATGCCAATTGTGTTATGGGGTGAGATGGAATGGGTTCTCAGGTATATAGAATTGCACTTACTCTTGTATGGAGGATAAGCATTAATATGGACCATTTGTGCCAAAAAACCTGAAACTAATTGCAATTTCTATATAATTTTGAATATTATATTATTAATAATATGTCACCTTTCAGCATCTTTGTATTTTCCTTTCTTTTCTAGTTCTTGCGCTTGATTAATATACAGAACAGCCACATCTTCATGCTTCATGCACTTTATAGCCAACTATAACAGTTCCAAAAGGAAAGTTTTGCTTTAGAATTATGCCCACATCTTTATGAATTATAAATCAGCATGGCATTGAATACTGTTCTACACAGTATACTGCTTATTTAACAGACTTCCTCCGATTTGTGAGTTTTGTAAAAATACTAAAATTGTACCTTCTAATAACAATATTGGGATGCTGAGATCCATTTAGCTCAGTATTTAAATATATGTTCATGTTTATATTGGTGATGAAAATCACAAACTAAAAGTGAAAATGTGCTTGCTTCAATTATACAGCACACTGGTGAAACTGCACGCAGAGCACTTTGTACAGCTTTCATCTCCTTACTGAAGGAATTTGAAGAAGCACTGAAAGAAGTTCAGAGAATTTTCAGCAGGCTGATTCTTGGAATGAAAGGGCTATCTTTTGAGGAAAGATTGAACAGATTATACTCATTGGAGTTTAGAAGAATGAGAGGTGATCTTATTGAAACATAAGATTCTGAGAGCCAACCAGGATAGATACTGACAGGGTGTTTCCTCTTGGGAAGGAATCTAGAACTAGGGACTGCAGTTAAAAAAAGGGGTGTTCCATTTGAGATGGTGAAAAGGAGGATTTTATTTTCTCAGATGGTTGTAAGACTTTGGAATTCTCTTCAACAGAAAGCAATGAAGGTTTAGTCACTGGGGTGGCATGGTGGCTCAGTGTTTAGCACTGCTGCCTCACAGCACCAGGGACCTGAGCTCGATTCCACCCTCGGGTGATCGTCCGTGTGGAGTTTGCACATTCTCGCCGTGTCTGTGTGAATTTCCTCTGGGTGCTCCAGTTTCCTCCCACAGTCCAAAGATGTGCAAATTAGGTGGATTGGCCATGCTAAATTGCCCTGTAGTGTCCAGGGATGTGTAGGTTATTGTGTTTGCCATGGGAAATATAGGGTAGAGGGAATGGATCCGGGTGAGATGGTCTTCAGAGGGTTGTGTGGACTTGTTTGGTTGAATGGCTTGTTTCCACACTGCGAGGGATTCTATGAACTACACAAAGCTGAGTTGGACAGATACTTCATTGACAAAGGGTTATGGTGTGCAGACAGGTAACGCAGTTAAGGCCATGATCAGATTAGCCATGATCTAACTGAATTGCAGAAGCAGCTCAATGGGTTAAATGACTTACTCCTGCTCTAATTTTTCATGATCTTACTCTACAATTAGATGAAACTTCCAAATGTACCATCAGCCAGAAGTTTTTGTTTCTGATTTTTACATTTCAATGTTGTTATCTCAGCATTGAAGCCAGAGAATGTAGGAGTTGGGGACTGCAGGATTCAACATTATATGTCAACGTAACAACCAGGGCAGAGATTAATATATTTAAAAACAAGATTTTGGACAGGGGGATATAGGGCGAAGGGAAATGATAAATCTCAGGACAAAGTGATGGATTGTGTTCCTTCAAATCTCTATCTCTGAATCCATCAATGGTGTAGATATTTTCTCAGCAACCTGTTCAGACATACTAGGAGACATCCCTGGAGCAGGTAGGACTTGAACCCAGGTTTCTTGGTCCAGAGGTAGGGATACTACCACTGTGCCATAAGAACCCTCATCAAATGTTGTAAGCTTCATTAATTAGCATTTCAGTGACAGGTACATGTGTTACATTGGATACATTTAAGAAGTCAATCTTGACACATATACTGTGCTACATGCTGCAGCACAGTTTGTCAGTTCTAGGAAGTAAGAATGTGCAGAGAGCCAGACGATTTCCCCTGCACCCCATGAATGAAACATTAATTTTCTACCAGGGCCGGTGAGACTTTCGTCAATCAAATTCAATAGATTTGTGCAGTGTGTGCTAAATGTACAAAAATATTTCACAAAAATTTCCATCCTTAATCAGAATTCAACACTCAACCTTGTGGGCTTGCTCCCAATATCCCACTTGCTTGTACATATCAATAGCATCCTTGATTCGATCGGCTTTGATGTACATCCTTTCAGCAGTCTAAAGGTGAAAAGAAAATAGATTGTTACTCAGTCATATGAAACATAAAACTCTTCAAATAATTAAGTCTAAAATGTACCAGAATATACTTACAAATAAAATAAAAATTAATCAATCATATTTACTCAACTTTATCGTGATATGTTGTCATTGCGTTCTGAGGAACGTTTTATTTGAGTGCATTCATTACCCCTCCAAATTCCAAAACGTAACTGTGTTGGAGTTTAATGTATTTAAAGGTAGGTACACAGCATATATTATTTTAAGAAAAATATATAAATATTCAATTATTTCTTTGGTTCAATTAATGAAAAATGGTCACAAAATTTTCCCCCTTTCTATTTGGTCTCCTGGGATATTGCTATTCGATCCAGAGGTTATGCTATTTTATAACAGGATTGATGTTCTTAACATAAAATGTAGCAGGCATTATTTAAACATTGGATGATGAGCGCCCTTGTCTCCAAACCTAGAGACTGTCACTCACCATTATTTTATTAGATTACTAACTAATTAACTAACGAAATGACTAAATACAGTGCATAAACTTTGTAGGCTAGGTGTAGTATCAACAGCAATAGTAACAACAATAGTAGTAACACCAATATGGCTGAGATTGTGGGCCATACCACAGATGTGATTGTCTGGGATTGGAGTGTGTGTCTGTGCCTGACCAGTTTTGGATCAGAGTTGCTGAGCTTGAATCTAAGCTGAAGTCATTGCAGGTATCAGGGAGAAGGAGCAATACTTTGGAAACAGTAGTTCCCTGTAGCTATACTAGAACATCAGAGTTGGCTAATGGTCAGGGTCAGCAGGGTGTGACTTTGAGTCAGATAGACATGGAGATCCAACTTGTAGTGTTGAGAAGCCTCAGCCCTCAATTTTGACCAACAATTCCAAGGCACTTGCTACCTGCATGGATGAAAGCAGGGCTATTAGGCAGATGAGCAACTGGATTATGGCAGTTTTTATCTGGGAGAAATGAAAAGAAATGTGTTAAGGATAGTACAGCCAGAGAATAGATATTATTCTCTTCAGCCATGACCAAGTGTTCCAGAGGTTGTGTACCTAACCAGTATTAGGGTTAATGACATCTCCTTGCAGCTGAATACTAATTTGGATTGGGAAGGGAAGTTTCTAGTTCCCATAGTACATGCAAGAACGAATTCCACAGCTGAAACTAGGAATGGTGTTCCACTGACAGAATTTGTGCAGTTAGGAATCATATTAGAATGCAGAACCTTAAATGTAATGATCTCTTGATTAGCTTAGGATTAAACTAATTGAACCGACTTCCATCACATTTCCAGGCAGTGCATTCCATACCCTAACTACTCACTCAGTGAAAAAGTTTTTCTCACTTCACCCTTGCTTTGTCTGCACGCCACTTTAAATCTTTGCCCTCATGTTCTTTTCTCTTTTACTAGCTTACTCTTTATCTATCCAGCCTGCGCATGATTTTGAAAACCTCCATCAAATCTTTTTCAGCCTTCATTTTTTTCAAGGACATTCCCAACTTTTTCAATCTAATAAGTTCAATCTAATCGTAAGTTTTTCATTCCTAGAATTATTCCTGTAAATTGCTCTGCATTTTTTCTGTAGTTAATCAGCCTTGGACAGAGATTGGTTCTGATAAGAAACACTTGGGAAAAACTTTGAAAGAAGCCCTTTTATCAGCTAGTTCAAAGTTTGTAAAAAAAGAAATCTGATCCCACAATAATCAAGACTTTTCAAATAAATCTATATGTGTACATTGAAATTATAAATGCACCCGACAAACTAACATCAGGGGGTTTAACTGAATTCCTTAGGACAGGCAACCTCAGACAGTAGAGAGAAACACCCATCTGATAGTAGGGAGGGTTGAATAATGGGTGCAAATGTCCGCAGTAAGATGCATTGTGAAAGCCCAAGGATAGGTGATAAGAATATTTGGTAAACAGTGTGAGATCATAGGAACACCTCAGGTTGTCCATAGAGTTGTCCATCATTGATCGTGCATTCACAGGATTGGATGTGTAAGTTAGATGAGATGTGGCTACTACTGGTGGCAATGCTGCATATAATCATTGTAACGCAGAATATATAAATATCTTGCACTTTATTGGAAGAAGCGGAGTGTCTTGGAGTCTGTCTCCAAGAGGCTTCTCTCACGTTACGTTGGTAAGGAGCTCCGAATAAAGATCGATTTGTGCTGCTGAACACGTGACTCAAGACTGCTCTTTTTAATTTATCTCTAACAAGAAGCACCATAACAAAAACATGCCACTGTAGTAGATTCCAGGCAAGTCCTGGGAGTGGGTGCAGTAGTGGCAGCTAAGAGTTGATGCTAGAGCTCAGGAGAAACCTTGGAATAGTGGGTGCCTGGAAGAAGGGTGGCTCAGTAGTTAACACTGCTGCCTCACAGCACCAGGGACCCAAGTTCCATTCCAGCTTTGGGTGTATGTGTGGGTTTCTGTCAGGTCTCTGATTTCCTCCCACAAACCAAAAATGTGCAGGTTAGATGGATTGGCAATGCTAAATTTCTCTATCCAGGGATGTGCGGGTTAGGTGTCTTAGCCATGGGTAAATGTGAGGATAGGGTGGGAGGGGCTGGGTCTCAGTGGGATGTTTTTCAGAGAAATGGTACAGATTCTTTTCATGCTGTAGGGATTGTATGAACTCTAATGATAATAAGTCCTGTGAGTGATTCATAATTCAGTGAATCTGAGAGTGGGGATGAAGGAAGCTTACAAGCTTTTGCTTCGTGCATTAGAGAAATAGTGGAGCTCTGAGAAGCTGAGGGCAGTGTCAGCTTAATGAAATTAGTTACAAAAACAAAGTTGCTGGAAAAGCTCAGCAGGTTTGGCAGCGACTGTGAAGGAGAAAACAGAGTTAATGTTTCGGGTCTGGTGACCCTTCCTCAGAACTGATGGTGGCTGGGAAAACGTCAGTTTATATGCAGAAAATAGGGAGGTGGGTGGGGTAGGGGATAAACGATAGGATAGAGCCCAAAGAGAGAGAGAAAGACAGTTGGACAGACAAAGGAGTTGCTAACGATCAGGCTGGGAGGGTGAATAGTTGTTAATGGGGACTGTTAGTGACTAACAACAGTGGGTGTGTAATGGCAGGCTATGTGGTAACAAGGCCTGGTGTGTGGGGTGGGGAGCTGGGACATGGGAGAGTTTAGGCCCTAAAATTATTGAACTCAACATTGAGTCCAGAGGGCTGTAGGGTCCCCAAGCGGAAAATGAGGTGTTGTTCCCCCAGCTTGCATTGGGCTTCACTGAAACACTGCAGCAAGCTGGAGACAGAGATGTTGGCCAGGGAGCAGGGTGGTGCATTGAACTGGCAGGCAACAGGTAGTTCAGGGTCTTTTTTGCGAGCAGAACGTAGATGTTCTGCGAAGCGGTCGCCAAGTCTACGCTTCATTTCCCCAATGTACAGGAGACCACATTGTGAGTAGCGAATGCAGTAGACTAGATTCTGGGAAGTGCAGGTGACGTGCTGCTTCACCTGGAAGGTATGTTTGGGCCCTTGGATACCGGGGAGGGAGGAGGTAAATGGACAGGTGTTGCACCTTCGCTGGTTACAGGGCTGTGGGGAGGTGTTGGGGTTAAAGAAAGTGTGGACCAGGGTGTCCCAGAGGGAACGGCCCCTGCGGAAGGCGGACAAGGGAGGGGGGGGGAATATATGCCTGGTGGTGGCATCTTGCTGGAGGTGGCGGAAATGGCATCTGATGATCTTCTGGATGTGGATGCTGGTGGGATGGTAGGTGAGGATAAGGGGAACCCTATTGCTTTTGTGGGAGGGAAGAGAAGGGGTGAGGGCGGAAGTGCGGGAGATGGGTTGGACCTGGTTGAGGACCCTGTCGACAGCGGAGCTGGGGAATCCTCGGTTGAGGAAGAAGGTGGACATTTCAGAGGCTCCCTTGTCGAAGTTGACCTCATCTGAACATATGCGACGGAGACGGAGGAACTGAGAGAATGGGATGGAGTCTTTACAGGAAGTGGGGTGTGAGGATGTATAGTTCAGGTAGCTGTGGGAGTCAGTGGGTTTGTAATGGATATTAGTGGCCAGTCTATCCCCAGAAATGGAAACAGAAATGTCGAGGAAGGGCTGGGAGGAGTTAGAGATAGATCAGATGAAAGTGAGGGCAGGGTGGAAATTGGAGGCGAAATTGATGAAGTTTTCCAATTCCAGACGAGAGAGGGAAGCAGCACCGATGATATCATCGATGTATCGGAGAAAGAGTTGTGGGTGGGGGCCGGAATAGGACTGGAACAAGGAATGTTCCACGTACCCCATGAAGACAGGCATAACTAGGGCCCATGCGGGTATCCATGGCAACTCCTCTTACCTGAAGAAAATGAGAGGAGTTAAAAGAGAAGTTGTTGAGGGTGAGGACAAGCTTGCCCAAGCAGAGGAGGGTGGTGGTGGATGGGGATGGTTCAGGTCTTTGCTCCAGGAAGAAGCAGAGAGCGCTAAGACCCTCCTAGTGGGGAATGGACGCGTAAAGGGATTGCACATCCATGGTAAAGAGGAGGTGACTAGAACCGGTAAACTGGAAGTTTTGAAACCAGCATATGGCGTCAGATGAATCATGGATGTATGTGGGTAGTGATTGGACCAGGGGGGAGAAGACTGAGTCAAGGTAGGAAGAGATGAGTTCTGTGGGGCACGAGCAGGCTGAAAACAATGGGTCTGCCCAGACAGTCCTGTTTGTGGATTTTTGGCAGGAGGTAGAAACGAGCTGTGCGGGGTTGGGGGACTATTAGCTTGGAAGCAGAGGTGGGGAGATCACTGGATGAAATGAGATCCGTAACCGTAGTGCATACAATGGCCTGATGTGCCATGGTGGGGTCATGGTCCAAGAAAAGGTAGGAGGAGGTATCCAAGAGCTGGCGCTCAGCGTCTGCAAGGTAGAGGTCAGTACGCCAGACTACAACAGCACCACCCTTATCGGCAGGCTTGATGACAAAGTCAGGGTTAGATCTGAGTGCACGCAGTGCAGTCAGTTCGGAGGGTGATAGGTTGGATTTGTTGAGGGGGCAGTGAAATTGAGGCGACTAATGTCATGTCGACAGTTCTCAATGAAAAGCGCAACTAGTTGTTTGCAAAAGGACTGGAATTGTGCCCATGAGTGAGTTCTGGAGTGCAGCCTCAAGAATCCAGGCGAGCACAATCCTAGGAAAGGAGATTGACGCACCAGGTCGTGAACAGTCATGGAGGCAGTCCATGACAGACTTTTAAGGGAGTTTTGAAGTTAGATGTTTGGAATAATTGAAATCCCTTGTGAAGGAGATTAAGTTTTAATTTTGTGACCTACAGTGTCACTAATATCTGGGGAATTACTGACAAATCTGCAGGATCTATCTCGAGTATATCGGCAATTTAACATGCTCCACGGGCTTTTGACCACAGTTTGTCTGTTAACCCATCGTTACATCATGTTAGTTCCGACTGTTATACTATAAGTGTTGCATATATTATAGATTATTTTACAACTTTGTGTACTCCAACTTTGTATATTCAAGTTTTGTTTATTTGTTGAAAACCATGAAACTTTGTGGTTTTTTTTCTCTTAGCTAAGTACCTGAAATTTCAAACTTTTGTCTGTTTTAAACAACAAAGTTATTGGTCCCTAACCAGATTGCAAAACATTTGGTGGCCTCATTCATGCTGCATAGGTCAATAAGCCTGCATGAAAAAGGCGTGTATCTATGAGGGATCCTTTAAGCCTTGGTTAAAATTAAACTGTGGAATTAAACTTTAGAAACACAAACAGCATATCTGGCAGCATCTATAGAAAGAGAGAGAGAGAGCGAGACAGAGAGAGAAGCAGACGTTTCAAAGTTAACTTTCTAACCTCATATTCTTGAACTGAAGCATAGTGTTGAGCTATCTTGTGATAGTACTTGTAAGATGTTGCATCATCTTGAAGTTCAAGAATATGGACTGCTTTTTTCCACTGTCGAGCTCCAACACTTGCATCAATCGCCTTTATAGAGCAGCTGAAAACCAAATTTAAAAGTTTCTTTAAATATAACTTATATGTTAAGTCAGCATGGAATTTAACTGTTGTGAACAATTACTTATGTTATTGCAAACAACAACTTTCACCCTTTGAAACATATAGGCAATTGAGTTTTACAGAGGGAGTAATTTAAACCCATTAAAATTGGTTAGGAACATAACATTCTAAATGTCTCAAAATCAAATCTGTCCTCCAACTCAAACTTGCTCAGACCTTGTTTCAATGGAGGCAGGACAAGATCAGGCATACCAGCAAGGTGGCAGGGTACTCATTTGTGTAGCTTAATGAGAGCTCGGGAAACCTATAAGCTAAAATAAGGACAGCTGCACTGTAAAGATGCTTGCCTTTCTAGAATTAACCAAGGATTAGAAGGAAAAAGAGCATGTCCCCACATTCCAAGTTAACTTGTTTCCATTCCTGCAGAGCTGCCCAGCATCACAGATTCCACCCTGCTACAGGTAGACCAACTGCCTGCTATTACCAACCACTACCACCTCCCCATCCCTGACTGTCATCTCTTTTTAACATTACACCCCTCTCCCACCACCAGCCCCCTCCAAAACAATGCTGTATCCACTCCTCACACAATTGCCATTCCAAGAAGCAGAAAATCTATCCAACCCAACCACGTGCGAGGGTTATGGTTTCTTCTGAAGTACTTCCTAAAGCCAACACGAAGACTGGCCTCTCAATCAGAACTGGTGACTGGGTAGAAAACCTGTCAAGGGCAGAAAATGCGCACCAGGAGCCAAAATCTCCCAGCACTCAGAAGAACCTGGACTTCTAGATTTCCTGATCAGAATTCCACATTGCACATGGGAATGCCATTTCAGTAAATATTGAATCCTGTTTACCTAGAAAAAGTATTATTTTAGATTTAGGCAATTTAACGTACCCGGCCTCAATGTAATGATTAATTGCAGCATCCAACTGTTTTTGTTGTACCAGATAGTCTCCCCAGGCCTCCTCTAATTTCACAACCTCAGCTGGAGAAACAGTTCTAGACAATTCCACCGCTGAAATCAGATAAATAAACTTTAATAAAGCTTCAGGCAAAGAAACAGTGCAAATGGATCATTTCACCAAAAAAAACATAAAGTGAATCATCAAGCTTTCAATGAAAGGTAATTCTTACCATAACAATGGCAAATATTTAGAATAAAATTTAAAAAAAATGTTTATATGATGAATGAGGAGATAGATGGAGACAGGCTGGGCTGGGAACGGGAAGAGGGTACATAACAAACACTTGCACAGATCATTTGGGCTGAATATTATTGTCTGTAAATTCTCTGCAATTTTATACAGAATATTATCAGATAAGTCCTTTTTCTGTTACTATCACCATCTAATTTGTCTATCTAGGTTAGAGTACCAATTATAACTGTAACCCAAATATTGAGAAGATCATATACCTTTCCGAAAGGCCTTGCCCTTACGGTAGCAATCCAGTGCTCTTTGGTAATTCCCAATGTTTTCATAAAGGTCTCCAGCCTAGGAGAAAAACAAATCACAGATTTATTGATCCTCTATTGTGCAACAGACATTGTAAAATACATGTAGTTAGTTACTAGTTGCATAATAAACAAAAGTGAACATCATGGTTAGATCTGGTTCATCAATGCAGTACTCATCATAATACAAGCTTAAGCAGAACTAGCTGCTTTCATTTTATATCTATATTTTCATCCTGTATTGTCCACTTAATTTTGTTCTGGTCATAATTTGGTCCTTCTTTGTTTTAAGGTGCCTTACTCCTTCATTTGTGATTTTCAGTAAACATATAATTCATATGGTTACAAGCCTCCTGGAGTGGCCTTCCCTGCTGTGATACTGTCAGTCCCTTTCCTAATTTATTACACAACAAAGATGGTAAGAAACTTTGGTGCAAGTAAAAGTGTCCTATTAAAAGAGGCCTATAATCAGTATAAGTTTTTCTGTTCCTAGGAAAAAGCATCTGGCCTCCACTTGACAATTGATAATATTGTAAGCAACGAAAAAAGGCCTGGTTCATCATTATTTTATCTGAAAATAGATAGAAGGAAATGATGTTTTTAGCATCCAAAGAACACATTTTATGAATAAATACTAACTCAATCTGACACTTTAATAGTCATCAATTGGTAGGTACCAGGTAAGAAAACAGGACTGCATGGCCCAATAAGAAGCAACAACAGTCTTGGATTCCATTTTCATCTGCCGTCCATTGCCAAACTTCCAAAACTATCAGACTGCACACCACATGCCCTGTGTAGCAAAAACTCATGAGCTCATAACCCCTTTCCTCAGACCAATTCTCAACTATGCAAGATCCTGAGATTCATTACATAACTCTGCATTTTCTGGACTACTCCTTTCTTCTCACAGTCTGAGACCTCCACCTCAATTCTACTAGATACCAAGATCCTACTTCCAGTGATCACCTATCCCACAAGCTGTCTAGGTGTTCTCAGAATATGCCACTTTGCTATTTCCAGAAAAAAATCCACTTTTACTCAAACAAACTCTGTGGACCCCAGGCTGACAACCTTCCACAATATTTCTGGACTACTCTTCCAATGGTCCCAAATCCCAGGCTACCATAAAAAGTTAGTGTTCCTGCTAAAAGCATCTGACATTTTTATGAAGTTTCAAAATCACATCTGGAACATCATTTGATACAATATCTAACAATAAACTACAAATGAATGTTTTGTTTTCCAGCTTGAAATTCCATGAATTACACAACTACACTCACAAAGACCGTCATTTTAATTTATTAATTCCTAAGAGATGTGAGCTTCACAGGTTAAGCCAAAATTAATTGCCCTCAAGAGTGTGGTGGTGAACTTTGTTCTTGAACTGCTGTAGTCCATTTGGTGTAGATGAACGAACAATACTGTTAGGGAGGGAGTTCCAGGATTTTGACCCTGTTGCATTGAAGAAGCAGTGATATGTTCCAAAGTCAGGACAGTATATGGCCTGCAGGTGCTGGTGTTCCTGTATATCTGCTGGCCTTGTCCTTCAAAATGGAAATGGCTGGAGGTTTAGAAGGCCCTGTCTATGGAACTTTGGTGAATTCTGCAGTGCAACTTGCAGATGGTACACACCACTGCTACTGTGCATAAATGATGGAGGGAATGAATATTTGCGGGTGTAGTGGTAATCAAGCAGGTGTCAAGTTTCCAGAGCACTGTTGAAGTTGCACTCATCCAGGCAAGTGGGAACTATTGCATCACACTCCTGAGTTCTGCCTTGTTGTTGACAGACGGGTATTGGGAGAGTCAGGTGAGTTACTCATTGCAGAATTCCTAGTTTCTGACCTGCTTTTGTAGCCACAGTATTTATATGGTTCGTCCAGTTCAGTTTCTGGTGAATGGTAAAGCCCAGAATGTTGATACTTTGGGAATTCAATGGCAGCAATGTCATTGAATGTTGCATGCTGATTTGTCAGTTCAAACCTGGATATTGTCCAATTGTTTTGCATTTGGGCATGGGTCACTTCAGTATTTGAGGAGTCTTGAATGGCATTAAACACTGTGCAATCACAAGCAAACATCCCCAGGGATGACCTTATGATGGAGGTGAGGTCATTGATGAACCATACGAAGATGGTTGGGCTTAGGACATCACCCTGAGGACCTCCTGCAGAGATGTCCTAGAGCTGAGATAACTGAGTTCCAAGCACCATCTTCCTTTGCGCTAGGTATGACTCTAACTAGCAGAGGGTTTTCCATGATTCACATTAATTCTAGTTTTGTTGGGATCCTTGATACTATACTTGGTGAAATGCTGTCTTGATGTCACCTCACCTTTAGAGTTCATCTCTTTGTCCGTGTCTGAACTTACATTGTGACGAGGCCAAAAGATGAGTAGCCCTGGTGGAATCCAACTGAGCATCAGTGATGAAGTTATTTCTGGGAAAACATTACTCAATAGCAATGTTGACTATTCAAGCCATCAAGAGTGATGGGATGGTAACAGCACGAATTGGACTTGTCTTGCTTTTTCTGTACAAAACATATCTGGACAATTGGCCCCATTACTGGGTTGATGCCAGAGTTGTAGCTGTATTTAAGTCACAGAGTCATACAGCACGGAAACAGACCCATCTGTCTAACTCATCTGCGCTAACCAGATGTCCTAACACGACCTAGTAGGCATTTACCACCATTTGGCCCATTTCCCTTTAAACCACGCCTATTCATATCCCCATCCAGATGCCTTTTAAATATTGTAATTGTACCAGGTTCCTCCATTTCCTCTGGCAGCTCGTTCCATACACGCACAACTCTCTGCATGAAAACGTTACCCCTCAGGTCCTTTATAAATCTTTCCCCTCTCACATTAAACCTATGCCCTCTAGTTTTGGACTACCCCACCCTAGGAAAAAGGCCTTGGCTACTCACCCTATCCATGTCTCTCATGATTTTACAAACGTCCTGGGAGAAAAGCCCCAACCTATTCAGCCTCTCCTTATAACTCAAATTCTCCAATCCTGGCAACACCCTTGTAAATCTTTACTGCACCCTCTCAAGTATAAAAACATTCTTCCTACAGAAGGGTGACCAGAATTCTACACAGTATTCTAAAAGCGGCCTCACCAATGTCCTGTACAGTCACAACGCGACATCCCAAGTCCTACACTCAAAGTTATGACCAATAAAGGTAAGCGTGCCAAACCTCTTCTTCTCCATCCTGTCCATCTGTGACTCCACTTTGAAGGAACTGTGCACCCGTACCCTAGGTTTCTTTGTTTGGCAACGCGCTCTAGGGTCCTGCCATTAACTGTAATAAGTCCTGCCCTCATTTGCCTTACCAAAATGCAACACCTCACATTTAGCTAAATTAAACTCCATCTGTCACTCCTCGGCCCATTGGCCCATCTGATCAAGGTCCCATTGTACTCTTGAGATAATCTCCTTCGCTGTCCACTACACCAACAATTTTGCTGTCATCTGAAAATTTACCAACAATACCTCCTATATTCACAAGCAAATCATTTACATAAATGACAAATATAGTGGACCAAGAACCGATCCTTGAGGCACACCATTAGTCACAGGCCTCCAGTCCAAAAAACAATCCTCCACTACCACACTCTGTCTCCTACATTCAAGTCAATTTTGTATCCAACTGACCAGCTTCCCCTACATCCCATGTAATCCTAGCTTGCTAACCAATATACCATGCGAAACCTTGTTAAACACTTTGCTGAAATCCATATAGACAATGATGAAGGCAGAGTGGCAGACAATCTTGTCCCCTCTTCAAGACACTCAATCAACTTAGTGAGACACAATGTCCCATACACAAAGCCACGTTGACTATCCCTAAACAGGCCTTGCCTTTCCAAATGCATGTAAATGCTGAACCTCAGAATCCCCTCCATCCACTTACCCACCACTGATGTAAGGTTTACCAGTCTAGAGTACCCTGGCATTTCCTTATAGTCTTTCTTAAATAATGGCACCACATTCACTGACCTCCAATCTTCCGGCACCTCACCTGTGACTATCGATGACAAAAATATCTCAAAAAGGGGTTCAACCATCTCTTCCCTAGTTTCCCACAAAGTTCTGGGAAACACCTGATCAGGTCTCAGGATTTTACTTACCATTATGCATTTTAAGACCTCCAGCATCTCCTCTTCTGTAATATGAACTCTTTTCAAAACATCACTATTATTTCCCCAAGTTCTCCAGCTTCCATTTCTTTCTCAACAGTAAAATTTGACACAAAATATTCATTTAGAATCTCTTCCACCTCCTGATGTTAAACACAAAGACAACCTTGTTGATCTTTAAGGGGTCCTACTCTGTCTCTAGTTGCTCTTTTACTCTTAAAGTATTTGTAGAAACTTTTTGGATTATTGTTAATCTTATCTGCCAAGGCTATTTCATATGCTTTCTTTGCCTTCCTGATTTCTTTCTTACGAATGCCCCTACACTCTTTATACTCTTCAAGAGGTTCAGTTGGTCCCTAGCTTCCATGTCCTTCACAGTGAATACTGACACAAAATATTCGTTTAGTATCTCAAACACAGACGGCCACGTTGATCTTTAAGGGGCCTTATTCTCTCTGTAGTTACTCTTTTGCCCTTAATGTATTACAGAATCTGTTTGGATTCTCCTTAACTCCGCCAATTACCCTCTTAAGTATACTCCTACTGCCCTTATACTCTTCTACAGACAATCCCAGCTGATATTTGCCACATTCCTTTTCTTGACCAAAGCCTCAATTTCTTTAGCCATTAAGCATTCCCTACACCTACCAGCTTCACCCTTCACACTAACAGAAAAATAGTGTCTCTGAACTCTCACTGTCTCATTCTTAAGAGCCTCCTACTTCCCAACAGGCTCTTCATCTGCAAACAGCCTCCCCCAAACTTTTTAAAGTTTGCGTCTAATATCGTCAAAATAAGAATAGCTTGGCGAGGGGGGTGAGGGGAGCGACAAATGCTGGACCATAATTCTTCAGTCCAATTGCCAGACTATTGTTGGTCTTCTGCTCCACAATCCCCTCCAGCCCCATCACACCCGGCACTTTTCCCTGCAACCTCAGGAAGTGCTACACCTGCCCCTACATCTCCCCCCTCACCCCCATCCCAGGCCCCAAGAAGACTTTCCACATCAAGCAGATGTTCATCTGCACATCTGCTAATGTGGTATACTGTATCCGCTGTTCCCATTGTGGCCTCCTCTACATCGGGGAAACCAAGCGGAGGCTTGGGGACCGCTTTGCGGAACACCTACGCTCGGTTCGCATTAAACAAGTGCACCTCCCAGTCGCGAACCACTTCAACTCCCCCTCCAATTCCTCAGACGACATGTCCATCCTGGGCCTCCTGCAGTGCCACAACGATGCCACCCGAAGGTTGCAGGAACAGTACCTCATATTCCGCTTGGGAACCCTGCAGCCCAATGGTATCAATGTGGACTTCACAAGCTTCAAAATCTCCCCTCCCCCTATTGCATCCCAAAACCAGCCCAGCTTGTCCCTGCCTCCCTAATCTGTCCTTCCTCCCACCTATCCCGTCCTCCCACCTCAAGCCCCACCCCCATTTCCTACCTACTAGCCTCATCCTGCCCCCTTGACCTGTCTGTCCTCCATGGACAGACCTATCCCCTCCCTAACTCTCCACCCACACTCACTTTTACTGGCTCCATCCCCGCCTCTTTGACCTGTCTATCTCCTCTCCACCTATCTTCTCCTCTATCCATCTTCTATCTGCCTCCCCCTCTCTCTCTATTTATTTCAGAACCCCCTTACCCTCCCCCATTTCTGAAGAAGGGTCTAGGCCCGAAACGTCAGCTTTCCTGCTCCTCTGATGCTGCTTGGCCTGCTGTGTTCATCCAGCTCTACACCTTGTTATGCCAGACTATTGTCAGGGCCTTTGCCTTTCTAGTGCCTTCAGCCATTTCTTGATACCATAAAGAGAATCGAAGTGGCTAAAGACAGGCATTCGTCAATATGGTGACCTCTGGAAGAAGCCAAGGTGGATCATCTACTCAGCACATTTGGCTGAAGATGGATGCAAATGCTTCAGCCTTATCTTATCAACCTTTTCTAAAATACTAGGCTCCCCCCCCATTGAGAATGGAGATATTTGTGGAACTTTGCTGATGCAGCAGGACTGCAGAGCTTAGATCTGATCTGTAGTTGTGAAATCACTTAGCGCTGTTCATCAGGTTCAGAAAAGATTTACAAGGATGTTGCCAGGGTCAGAGGTTTGAGCTGTAGGGAGAGGCTGAAAAGGCTCGGGCTATTTTCCCTGCAGCGTTGGAGGCTGAGGGGTGACCTTATAGAGGTTCATAAACCATGATTTAAGGTGAGAGGGGAAAAGAGTTAAAAGGAACCTAAAGGGCAACTTTTTCATGCAGAGGGTGGTGTGTGTATGGAATGAGCTGCCAGAGGAAGTGGTAGAGGCTGCTACAATTACAACATTTAAAAGGCATTTGGATGGGTACATGAATAGGATGGGTTTGGAGGGATACTGGCCAAATGCTGGCAAATGGGACTAGATTTATTTAGGTTATCTGGTTGGCACGGGGGAGTAGGACCGAAGGGTCTGTTTCCGTGCTGTGCATCTCTATGACTATAACTCCCATCATTAGCTAATTATGCTGTTTGACATGCAGGTAATCCTGCATTGTAGCCTCACCAGTTTGATACCTCGTTTTTAGGTAGCCTGATGTAGCTCCCGATGTGCCCTCCTGCATATTTAATTCAACCAAGATTGATCCCCTGACTCAATGGCTATGTTTTACGAGAGATATGTCAGGCCATTGTATTCGAGTACAATTCTCCAGCTGCTGATAGTCCACAGCAACTCATGGATGCCCAGTCTTGAGTTGCTAAATTCATTCAAAATCTACCTCATTTAGTATGGTGGTAGTATCACATAACAGAGTGGAGGGCACTGCAATGTGAAGAACCGACTTTGCAGGTACCCTGTAATGGTCACTCCTACCAATTGGCAGATGCGACAGGCAGATTGGTGAGGACAAGGTCAAGTATGTCTCTCCCTCATTAGTTCTCTCAGCACTCGCTGCGGACTGAGTCTAGCAGCTATGTCCTTTAGGACTCAAAGAGCTTGGTCACTGGCGATGTTGAGTCACTCTTGGTGGGATATACTAATCGGCATGAGACTTCATGGGGTAAAAAGTCAACATTGAGGACTCTCAGGGCAACATGACCATTGTTTAACGCTCTGAGATAATTCTCCCAATTTTAGCATAATCCCCAGATGTTAGTAAGAACTTTGCAGGTTGACAGGGCTGAATTTGCTGTTGATGTTTCTTGTGCATAGATTGGTTTCTGATGCCTAGTCTGCTTAATCCCTTTAAGACTTTTCTTCTATCAATTTGATGCAACTGAATGGCTTACTAGGCCATTTCAATTAAGAGGTAACCACAATGCTATCAGTCTGGAGTCATGTGTAGGTCAAACCAGGTAAAGACAGCAGATTTTCTTGCAGAACTTGCCTACAGGGCATTAGTGAACCAGACAGATTTTTACAACAATCAACAAGGATTTCATGCTCATCATTAGGTCATTTTTTAAAATTCTAATGTTATCACCTGTTGTGGTAAGATTCAACCCTTGTCCTCAAGGAATTACGAGTGTCTAAATTACGAGTCCAGCAACAATAAGACTACGCCATCGATCCCCCCAAAGAGAGAATTAACAGTTAATATATAAAAAGACAACACAAAACCTACAGATATTTTTAATACCCACCCTTTCATAAAAGTCCCCCTTAATTAGGGCTGCAGCAATTCTATTGATGATATCACTGTTTGTCATAAGTTCATTCTGACTCAATACTAATCGAGCAGCTTTTGCAGGTAGGCCAGCTTTCAAATAGAGATTAATGGCACCAGGGTAATCTCCATCATTCTCTTTTACTTCGCCTGCCTTTTCATCTTGATTTGTTTCCATCAGCCATTTATAATAACTCCGTCTAAGATTGTCCAATTCAGGGTGACCCTAAAGAAAAAGTCAAAACAGTTATAAATTAGATATTACATAGCATTCCATAGAAAATAAAATTTTATTTTGATATTTTTCAACCTCTATTTATTTTCAGGTGTTATTCACAGTTATTGTTATAGTCATGTAAGAAACTGATTATAAAGGATAAACATGGAATGTACATCATCACACAGTCATAACTGAATTACTGCAGTTTTCCATTAAGTGTCTTTCAATTCCTCACAGGTACCTGTTGAGGGAATGGGATAATCCAAACCTTAATTCTATTGTTTAAAGAATTTCTTTTTAATTAGAGCTCTTTGGAAGGAAAACTGCACTTTGCTAATTTCTAATGGTTTGTAATATGAAACTCTTTCACAATTTAAAACAAGAGTTTTACAACTTATTGGTACAGCAAACTTTATTTTAACTGGCACCTAATGGACCCAGTACTATCAATAAACCAACAACAAGTATACACCTGAAACATCAGACATTTGCTGCATTAATGTGATCTACGTGATGTCCAAGTAGTCAGTTGAGGATGCAAGTGAGAGGGCTCTCTGCTGGTAAAGTTTCTTTAAGTTATTACTTAAATGCTTCGTCTGTGAATAAGTTTTAACAGTAATGTATATAACCCCTGCATTGCATTTCTTTAACCTAGTATGTGTTTTTACATTGAATTATGGACTTCTTGATTAACCAGAATATATGATCAATTGGTACATTCTTGGTCCCATAGGTGCCAGTTAATGATATGGTTTGTACATTTTATTCTCTCTGGTACTTCAAATGAGCAGCTCAATTTCTGACTCAGCCTTAATATTATTCAATGTCAGCATAAAATGATGGTTTTTCTTGTGTTAAAATTTATAGACTTCACAAAAAGTTGTAGTTTGTCACACTGACATCTCAGGTTCTTCAATTCATTCTATTTTTGTAATTTTCCTATAAAACATACATACTGTATTTCAGAGAAGTAAGAACTGCCAATGCTGGAGTCAGAGATAACACAGTGTGGAGCTGGAGGAACACAGCAGGCCAGGCAGCATCAGAGGAGCAGGAAAGCTGACATTTCGGGTCGGGACCCTTCTTCAGAAATGGGGGATGGGGAAGGGAGCTCTGAAATAAATAGAGAGAGGAGGGGTGGGGCTGGGGAAGGTAGGTGGGATGGAGATAGGTGAGTGCAGATAGGCAGTGGTAGGGATTGGTCAGTGAGGTAGGAGGAGCAGATAGTTAGGAGAGGAGACGGGCAGGTCAAGGAGGCGGGGATGAGAGGGGCTAGGGAAGGTAGGTGGAATGACGATAGGTGAGTGCAGGTAGGCAGTGGTGGGCATTGGTCAGTGAGGTGGGGATGAAGGAGAGGGTTGGTCATGGGATGAGGCCGGGGGCTGGGGATATTTTCAAGCTAGTAAAGTCCACATTGAGACCATTGGGTTGTAGGCTCCCAAGGCGGAATATGAGGTGTTGCTCCTCCAGTTTCCGGGTGGCGCCGTAGTGACACTGGAGGAGGCCCAGGATGGACGTCATCCGGGGAGTGGGAGGGGGAGTTGAAGTAGTTCGTGACTGGAAGGTGCTGTCGTTTGTCGCGAAACGAGCGCAGGTGCTCTACAAAGCGGTCTCCGAGTCTCCACTTGGTCTCACCAATGTAGAGGAGGCCACGTCGGGAACAGCATTAGCAGATGTGCAGGTGAACATCTGTCTGATGTGGAAGGTTTTTTAGGGTCCTGGGATGGATATGAGGGGGTGGGTGTAGGGGTAGGTGTAGCACTTCCTGCAGTTGCAGGGAAAGGTGCCGGGGGTGGTGGGGCTAGTGGGGAGTCTGGAGTGGATGAGGGAGTTGCGGAGAGAACAGTCGCTACGGAAGGCAGATAAGGTTGGGGAGGGAAATATGTCCTTCGCTGTGGGGTCAGATTGCAGGTGGCAGAAATGGCGGACAATGATGCGTTGAATCCGGAGGTTAGTTGGGTGATACGTGAGGACAAGGGGGATTCTGTCTTTGTTTCTGTTGCGGGGAGAGGGTGTGAGGGCAGAGGTGCGAGAAACGCAAGAGATGCGGTCGAGAGCGTTATCGACCACTGAAGGGGCGAAGTTGTGGTCCTTGAAATACGAGGACATTGGAGATGTTCGGGAGTGGAACGCCTCATCTTGGGAGCAGATGCAGCGGAGGCGGAGGAATTGGGAGTAGAGGATCGCATTCCTGCAGGAAAGTGGGTGAGAGGAGTTGACAGAGAAGTTGTTAAGGGTAAGGATGAGTTCAGTTAAGCAGATGAAGGTGTCGGTGGAGGGGCACTGGTTGGGCCTACGGGAGAGGAAGAAGCGGAGAGCTTTTAGGCCATCCCCAACTCCTCCCACTTCCTACAGACTAAGGGGGTGGCCATTGGAACCCACATGGGCCCAAGCTGTGCCTGCCTTGTCGTAGAATACGTGGAACAGTCCCTCTTCTGCAGCTACACTGGCACTATCCCCCACCTCTTCCTCCACTACATCGATGACTGTATCGGCAACGCCTCGTGCTCCCACGAGGAGTTTGAACAGTTCATCAACTTTACTAACACTTTTCACCCCAACCTCAAGCTCACCTGGACCATCTCTGATACCTCTCTCTCCCTCCCTCCCTCCTGGACCTCTCTGTCTCCATCTCTGGTGACCATCTCGAAACTGATATCTCTTTCAAACCCACCGACTCCACAGCTACCTAGACTACACCTCATCTCACCCACCTTCCTGCAAGGTGATTTTCTGAAGAAGGGTCCTGACCCGAAACGTCAGCTTTCCTGCTCCTCTGATGCTGCCTGGCCTGCTGTGTTCCCCCAGCTCCACACTGTGATATCTCTGACTCCAGCATCGGCAGTTCTTACTTTCTCTCAATATGCAGAACAAGTTACCTTGGCTTCGGCAACCATTATACATTCATCCCACATGTGTAGTTCCTGATACATATCCATGGCTTTATCAACAGCATTCTAGAGAAAAATTGATATTTGTTTAAATAATATTCTAAAGAACAGTAAATACATATTGAGAAGATGCAGAAAAGATTCATGGGAATGGTACTAGAGATGAAATACTTCAGACAAGAGGGTAGATTAAAGAAGTTGGGGTTGTTCTCCTGAGAGAAAAGACGGCTGAGAGAAAATTTTATAGAGGTGTTCAAAATAATGTGGGGTCTAAGCAGGATAGATAGTGAGAAAATGTTCCAGTACATCCAAATGTTGAGAAGTAGACAGTACTGAATTAAGGATCAAATTGATGGAAGAACTAGAGGTAAAATGAAGAAAAAAATGAATGGTTACAGTGTGGAATGCACTAACAGAGAGCGTTACAGTGGCAGATTGAATCAAGGCTTTCAAGACGAAAGCGTGTAATTATCTGAAGAAAGCGTTCACAGTACAATGGGTAAAAGGCTGTTGAGTGGAACTATCTGACTTTAAAGGCCTGCCAAAAACAAAACAGCTGCAGTAAAAAGTAGTTTCTTTAAAAGTCCAACAGTTGAATCCCTCTGAAAGATTACATCATCTTTTTGTATCATTTACAGTGCCACAGTTGATTGCAATATTGCAAATACAGCAGATGTTAAAAATTAAACAGTAAAATTGTTAAACAAGTGACATAATTCAAAGACATATCTTTCACATTTAAACATCTATTGCTTAGACCAACTATACGCCTATAAATCCATGCACAGTAACAATTACTCTCAAATAGTTTCATTAAGATAGAAGAAATTTTGTTTTCTCCATGAAAATTATCTATCATAATATTGTACAAAACAGTAATAAAATTTTGAAGTGTGCAAATTTCAATGGACATATAAAGTCCAGTGGACAATAGTATCCTGATAATGGTTTGAAATTAGTTAATACTTTTGCAAACATACTTGTTCCAGATAGTAACTTTCTGCTAATTTGTAGTTTTTCTCCAACATAGCCAATCGTGCGCGAACAAGGTAATTGTCTGAGCCATCACCTCCCTAAAAACAAAAGATAAAATTAGAATCTGCTGTTTCATTATTTTACTGAGAACAATTAAATGGTAGTCTGATGTCCAAACAAAAATACGTAGTTAAGTAAATCGAAATTAAAACAGATCTAAACAATCAAATTGTTTTCATGGTGTAGTATGAGGCACACAAAAAATAACACCGCATTATATCCAAATCGTTCAATTGCATAATTATATGCTGGAATTGACCTTCACCACCAGACAACAGTTAGGTGCAGAGCACAGAAGGTGCATTTTGAAATAGTGTATGCAATTTTCCTACATGTCTATATTATAGGACCAGACTTTGGGAGCTGACATTCACTCATAGTTGATAAGACCATAAGACACAGGAGCAGAATTAGGCCATTTGACCCATCGGGTCTGTTCTGTCATATGATCATGGTTGATATGTTTCTCAACCCCATAACACTTGATACCCTTGATACTTGATACTCAAAAGCCTATCTATCTCTGATAAAAATACACTCAATGACCTGTCCTCCACAGCCCTCTCCAGCAATGAGTTCCACGGATTAACCACCTTCTAGCCGAAGACATCCTCCTCATCTCAGTTCTGAAAGGTCATCATTTCACTCTGAGGCTGTGCCCTCAGGTCCTAGTCTCTCCTACTCATGGAAACATTTTCTTCACATCCATCCTATAGAGGCCTCTCAACATTCTGTGAGTTTCAATCAGGTAGCCCCTCATCCATTCTAAACTCAGAATCCTCAACCACTATTCATGACAAGCCCTTCATACCTTGGATCATTCTGGTAAACCTTCACTGAAGCCCTCCAAGGTCTAACACATCCTTCCTTAAATACGGGGCCCAAATCTACTCACAATATTCCAAAAACAACCTGACCAGAGCGGTATACAGCCTCAGCAATACATCTCCGGTGTTTCAATTCTAGCCCTCTTGAAACAAATGTTAACATTGCATTTGTCTTGGTAACTGCCAGCTGAAACTACATGTTAACCTTATGAGAAACTTGAACATGGACTCCCAAGTCTCTTTTTGCTTCAGATTTCCAAAGCCTTTTCCCATTTAGAAAATAATCTATGCCTCTATTCCTATCATAGAATCCATACAGTGTCGAAACCAGCCATTCGGCCCAACAAGTCCACACCAGCCCTCCAAAGAGCATTGCAGCGAGACCCATCCCCCTACCCTTTACTTGTAACCCTGTATTTCCCATGTATCATCCACCTAATTTACTCACCCCTGGACACTACAGGCAATTTAGCATGGCCAATCCACCTAAACTGCACATCTTTGGGCTGTGGGAGGAAACCGGAGCATCCGGCGGAAACCCACACAGACCCAGGGAGAATGTGCAAATTCCACACAGATAGTAGCCCGAAAGTGGAATTGAACCCAGGTCCCTGGAGCTGTGAGGCAGCAGTACTAACCACTGAGCCACCATGCCACCCTTGCAGAAGTGCAGAACCTCACATTTTTCCACATTATATTCCATCTGCTACTTCTTTGCCCACATTCCTAGCATGTCCAAGTTCTTCTGCAACCTCCCGCTTCCTCAACACTACCTGCCCCTCCACTTACCTTTGTGTCATCTGCAAATTTAAGAATAATGCCCTCAGTTCCTTCACCCAGATTGTTAATGTATAACATCAATAGTAGTGGTCCCAACATAGACCCCTGAGGAACTCCACTACTCAGTGACCACCATCCTGAAAAAGACCACGTTATCCCCACACTCTGCCTTCTGCCAGTTAGCCAATCTTCTATCCATGCTGGTACCCTGCCCCTAACACACAGGCTCTTATCTTGTTTAGCAGCCTCCTGCACAGCACCTTGTTAAAGGCCTTCTGGAAACCCAAAAAGATCACATCCACTTGCTCTCCTTTGTCTAACTTGCCATTACCCCCTCAAAGAATTCGAACAGATTTGTCAGGCATGACCACCCCTTGATCAAGTTGTGCTGATTCAGCCCTATTTTACCATGCACTTCCAAGTATTCTGCAATCTCATCCTTAATAATGGACTCTAAAATCTTACCAATGACCGGTCAGGCTAACCAGCCTATAGTTCCCTGACCTTTTGCCTCCCTCCCCTCTCAAACAAGGTTGTTACATTAGCCATTTTCCAGTTCTCTGGGACTCTCCTGACTCCAGTGATTCCTGAAAGATCACCACCAATGCCTCCATAATCTTCTCAGCTCTCTTCTTCAGAACTCTAGGGTATAGTCCATTAGGTCCAGGGTATTTATCTACCTTCAGACCTTTCAGCTTCCCCAGCACCTTCTCCTTAGTGACGACCACTACACTCACTTCTGCCTCCTGACTCTCTTGAATGGTATGCTGCTAGTGTCTTCCACTGTGACAACTGATGCAAAGTACCTATTTAGTTCCTCCACCATTTCGTTGTTCCCTATTACTATTTCTCCAGCCTCATTGTCCAGTGGTCCAATATCTACTCTTGCCTTTTTCTTACCTTTAGGTATTAAAAAACAAACTCTTGCAAGCTTCTTCTACACTATAAATTAGCTTACTCTCATATTTCATCTTCTCCCCAACACTAATTGCTTTTTTAGTTATCCTCTGCTGGTTTTTTGAAGGCTTCCAAATCCTCTGGCTTCCCACTAATATTCACCACATTGTATGTTTTTATGCTGTCCCTGACTTCCCTCATCAGCCATGGTTACCTCGTCTTTCCCTTAGTATGTTTCTTCTTCCTGGGATGAATTTCTGTTGTGCCTCCTGAATTATGCACAGAACTTCTACCATTGCTGCTCCACTGTTTTCCGAACTATGCTCCCCTTCCAATCAACTCGAGCAAGCTCCTCCCTCATGTCTTTGTGGTTATCTTTACTCAAACGGTAATTCCATTACATGTGATTTCAGCTTCTCCTTCTCAAACTGCATGGTGAATTTTGTTATATTATTGTCTCTGTCCCCTAGGGTTGGGTTCCTTCACCTTAAGCTCCCTAATCAAGTTTGCCTCATTACACATCACCACATTCAGAATTACCTGTTCCTCAGTGGGCTCTATCATAAGATGCTCAAAAAGAACATATTGTAGACATTCCACAAATTCCTTTTCTTGAAATCCACTACCAACCTGATTTTCCCTGTACACCTGCATCTTGAATTCTTCCATGATTATTGTAATAGTAACTTTCTAATGTGCCTTTTCTATTCCCTGATTTATTTTCCACCCCATGTCTTCACTACTGCTTGGAGAACTGTACACAACATCCATCGGGTCTTTTCTCCTTTGCAGTTCCTCAGCTCTATCTGCACAGCTTGTAAGCCTTCCTACTCTGTATCACTTCTTGCTGTTGATTTAATTTCATTTCTTACAAACAAGGCAACCCCACCCCCTCTGTCCATCTGCCTATTCTTCAGAAAGGATATATATCCTTGAATATTTAGTACCCAGCCCTGATCCCTTTACAGCCATGCCTGTGATAGCCACAACATCATACCTGTCAATTTGAATCTGTGCTACAAGCTCACTTACCTTCTTTCGTATACTCTGCGCGTTCAAGCACACAACCCTCAGTCCTGTAATGTGCCTTAGGTTGATTCTGACCGTTTCCATACTCTGACCTATTACTAGTTCTGAAAACTTTAATAATTTCTGCTGAGCCCTACTCCATCTTTGACTTTATGTGAATCTCCAGGACTCTGGTTCTAGCATGATTCAAGTGGAACCCATCGTATCTGAACAGCTGCGAATTCACAATATTGGTGCCAATGCCCCATGAATTTGAACCTGATACAGTAAAAGAACTGAGAAAAATCCCCAGCAGTATCTTGGCTTTAAATGCAAACAGCAATGTTAAATAGGCAGGTCAAATGGAAGCCCTACAAGGGACAATGAGTTTTCACTGTTTAAAGGTAACAATTTTGTTACCGTTGGAGAATATCTGAACATTTGCAACACCTAAAAGGGGAGAAGCAGAGAGAGAAATAAGCTTCAAAGGAAGGGTGGCTCAGGTTAAAATCAGGGGAAGGTGAGCAAAGGGTGAAAATTAGGGAGCTTTCATGTTCTTCCTTTTCAATATTGCTTTTTATGTGAATGGCAATCATAGAAATCATAGAATCCCTACTGTACAGATAGAGGTCATTCAGCCCATCTGAGTCTGCACCAACCCTCCCCTATCCACATAAAACCACATTTACCATAACTAACCCAACTAGCATACTCATCCCTGGACACTACAGGCAACTTAGCATGGCCAATCCTCTTAAATGTGCACAACTTTGGGCTGTGGGAGGAAAACGGAGTACCTGGCGGAAATCCATGCAGATGTGGGGAGAACATACAAACTCCAAACAGACACTCACCCAAGGCTGGAATCGAACCCAGGTCCCTGGCGCTTTCTGAGCAAATACAAATCTTCGATCCCCAACAACTTTTAAATTCCTGAACCACTGACCATGCAGGAACTAAAGTGGTGGTGTTAAATAGTAATTAAATTATTACAGTGAATCTCTTAAATTTCGTGACAACAGGCATGGTGTTAGCACTTAACATCTTGTTTATCATTCAGTAAATATAATTAAATAATGTTGGAACCATAGAATAATTATTTCAGAAATACTGAAGTCTTTCAATAATAAGCACTTCACCATTTCATTTAATGGCATTTCAGTTGAACCCTAGCATAATTTCTAGATACTTGTGTAATTAATAAGTCAGTCAGCATCAACAGTTCAATGATAACTAATCTCGAAAGGGAATTTGCAGATATACAGCTCCAATTTCTCATTTTGATGGAATAAACTGGATACATTACTCATTAGGAGGAGGAAAGAAAGAGCAATTTTTTATTGAAACAATGACATAGAAAAATAGAAGGCAGGAGCAGGAGGAAACCATTCGGCCCTTCAAGTCTGCTCCATCATTATTCATGATCATTGCTGATTGTCCAACTCAACAGCGTAATCCTGCTTTCTCCCCGTAACCTTTGATCCCATTCACCCCAAGTGCTATATCTAGTTGCCTCTTGATGTTTT